TTGCAAATCAGAATCGATTGCCTTGAGCAGAATCACAAATCCTCAAAAATTGTTACTCTTTTGCCACAAATCGACTTTTTATTCTCGGTCCGCACTTGTAATTAACAGAAAGGTTATAATGGATATCGCAATATGCATTTCCGTTACGGAAACGCAAGTGAAAATGGAGGCCAGCATGATTAACTGAGTTTTTCAAAACAGCATGCTACAAATTAAAAAAAGTGAAAAAATGGCATAAGTCAATGCAATAACATGTTAAATTTAAGTAACATAAATACATTTAACATTTTCGAAAATAAGAAATTATTAATAATAATCTTGAATTAATCAGCATACAAGGCTAATTAAATTCATTTCCAAAATGCCCTCCGTTCATTTCTGCACATTTTCTTATAGATTTTAAGAAATGCTGTCGAACACTAAAAAATACACTTAACCTAATGACTTCAAAACCATTTATTATTTTTTGTGGTAGAACATTGGAATCTAGGTGTTTCATACACTTTAAGTGCCTCTAAAACGAGAAGTCCGTCGGATTAAGGTCTGGTGAGCGAGGTGGCCATGCTAGAGGTCCGCCCGACTTATCCGTCTATCTTGTAATACCTGATTTAAGTACCTTCGTACTGCCAATGTAAAATGGGGTGAAGGACCATATTGCATTAACCACATGTTATGTCTCGAGTCTTCCAGCAAAGGTGCTAATTCCTCTTGGAGAAATTACAAATACATTTCGCCATTAAGCGATCCGATATAGAAATGAGGTCATACGTTTAAAGAAAACCGCTGTTGATGTTTTCTTTTGATTTTTCCGTGTGAGTTTTCAATGTTCCACTGATGCATATATCGAAAATTTACAATGCCTTCACGACTGAATGCAGCCTCGTCAGTGAACAAATTGACATTTAAGAACACTGGCAACATTTTTGATTTAGAAAATATAAATGATAAAGTAAGTTTTTTTAATCATAGGATTGTTTCGCTATTAGATTTATATGATCGATTGAGGAGGGCCCGATTTTATGAGACGGAATGAACCGTGGATAACTGATAACATTCGGTATTTAATTGCAACCAGGAAGAAAACTACAAGAAAACCGGAACCCCTCAGCACTGGGACTATTATAAAAGTCTTTGGAAAAAAAGCTTTTTTTGAATCTCAATTTCAACATAACACTAATATTTGGAATAATTTAAGAAAGTTTGAAGTCTGTAACTTTAAGCCAAAGGTCGAACTTCCTAAAAGACTCAGCAATCCGGACGAGCTCAATAACTTTTTTGTAAATAGTGTGGATGTTCGATTACCCACTAGTGATGAACTTCTGAACTTATATAGTCAAGACATTTCTGAAAACTTAACATCTATTTTAACGTTTAAGGAAATTAATGAAATTCAGAAACTCAATATTATTACTTACAGCAATGAAGTTCAGAGCGTAGGGTGCTGACGGTATTGGAATAATGGCTTTACAGCTTTGCTGTCCATTCAAAGTAAACTCAGTCTTTCCCGAATGCTGGAAAAGAAGTCTAGTATCGCCATTAGTAGTATCTATTCCTAACTTCTGCATCCCCCGTCCACCGGGGGACATTTTGAAATTGCACATTTTCAGATTCCCAATCAACCCAAAAAAATATTTTGACCAATCTACGAGAGATGTCGCGCATTAATAGCTCAGGTTTTGATCTCCAGATGTCCCCCGTAATTATTGTAAAAATTCTTAACCTAAAGAACAATGCCTTAAAGGGGTAGCTTGCCGAACGAAGAGGTTTAATGACGCTCGCCGAAAAAAACACAATGCTACTGCGCTGCTGCCATGGCCCAAAATTTGCAACCCCAAAAGTTACAAAGATTTACCCCCAATTAGTATTTTACCGTGCTTGTCAGAAGATAGTGGAGAAATGCAAAAAGATCCAATTATTCGATCATATTGAAAATAACAACATTCTTCCTGAAAGTCAATCAGGCTTCAGAAAAATTCATAGTTGCGCTATAGCCTTGGCAAATGTAACAGACCATATATTGACGAGGGTAATCTCACGGTGCTGGCTTTATTGGATTTCTCGAAAGCATTTGACATGATAGATCATAAATTGCTTCTGACAACTCTGCACTACGTCCGCCTTAGTTATACATCGATAATTTTTTTTCTAACTTTTTGTCAAGTAGGTCCCAGTGTGTCAGAATCGGATCTGTATTAACAGAACCACTGGACCTCCTTCGAGGTGTTCAATTATTTCCCCGCTGCTCTATGCTGCCTATACATCGGGTCGTCCAAAGGCACTAAAAAGTGTCCAGCGCAATTTTACGCTGACGATACGCAGGTGTATCTCTCGTTTAGTAGGGGGAGCGTCGGGGAGAGCTGTGTAATATTGAGTAGGGAGCTGAATGCACTGAAAGAATTGTACGTAAAGCACTCCCTCCTTAAACCCCAGAAATGTTGCTTATTATTACTAGGACGTAAATTAGATATTGACAGTGCAAAGGACAATATAAGGGTTGAAATCGGGGATACGGTATTGCCCATAAAGGAGACTGTGCGTAATCTTGGCCTAATATATGATGGTTCTCTTAGATTTACCACTCATATAAATAGTTGTTGTCGAAGAACAGAATAAAACATATATATAGTAATTACAATTACTGTGAGTTGTTTACACAAATTGTTTAAACAATTCTGATAAAAGAAAAATTCAGTTAATTCAAAATTCATGTCTTAGACTTATTCATGGAATAAGGAAGTAGCAGCCAATTTCACACAAACTCTTTGAAACAGGGCGGCTTAGTATGGGGAGGAGGAGAGAATTACATTCTGCTTGCTTTTTTAATAAAATTATAAGCTTCAAATGTCCTACGTACTTATACAGACGCATTTTATTCAGAACACATTTACATAATTTAAAAATTTTAAAAAATATGTTCTAGGTCAAGTGCCCTCTGGTGACAGATTTTTAAAACACTTTTATTTTATGACGATAACTTTTACTCGATCAGTCACTGCGACAAAACTAAAATTAAAAAAATGATCTTTGCAAGCTATACATAACTTACTACCATTATTTTAGCACGTTGACTCTTCCCTCCAAGATTCCGAACTCAATTTCCGAACAGCCTGTCTATGATGATGATGATGGTAAAATTTCTGACTCTTCTTCATTAACTAAGTTAACTTTCGCTTTAGACAATGTGTCTCTGTGGTGCTTCGGCACACCCACAAACGGTTAAAAAAGTTGGCGACCAAGCTATGTGTACAGGATGTCCCATCAATGTGGGTTGCAAAAGAATTTATTTCGAATCCGTATTTGAATTTTACTATTAACTCTAAACAGATTTTGGGCATGGTGAGTCAACCGTGGAATTCATTGCCTCAATGGTTTTAAAAGATATCCGAAAATTGTACAGGGCGGCTCAAAAAAGTGTGACTTGAAATTGAAATTGATATTTGCTATTAGCGTCATTTGACGTCAGTTGACGTCTAAGATATGTGCAACGGGCTTTGAATTAGATGATACAGAGTGTCATTTGGATCATTTTAAATTGAAAAATCGCGAATTTTTTAAATGGCACATATTATTTTTTCTGAAAAATCTTATTCGATCTAACTTGATCGATATTGACACGACACATAAACACAGGATTTAAGCTGATAACTGCAACTTTTTAGTTGCGATATGTCTCGGAAAAGCCGTTTTTGACCAGAATCTAATCGAAATCGCCAAGAAAAACCAGCTATTTGGGCTAGGAAGTGAGGTTTTAGGCTAATATCTGCGGCGACAGAAGATGCGGTTTTAAGCTGATTCTGCAATTTCGATGTCGTTTTAGTAAGAATATGTCTAGGAAAAGGACATTTTGACTGGAACTTGTTTTAAATCAAACAAAAAAACAAAAAATATCTGGAGGTTTAATGTAGATTTCGGTTCAGTAGGTTGCTAAAAAGCTGATTTAAGTTGATATATGCTGTTTTGTTGATGTCTTTGCAACAATATAGGCCGAAGATGCCCATTTTGGCACGGGTCTCGGAAAAGCCCAATTCGACTGGAATGTATTTGAAATCGAGAAGAAAATCCAAATCAAAAAGGGTTTTTAATTTAATATCTGCGAGTTTAATCCAGATTTCAGTCCAATAAGTTGCGAAAAATCCGATTTTGACTGGAAATTAATTTACAATTAATTAGTTGATTAACAGATGATCTGTTCGAGAAGGGCAAAACCAAAAACACTTTAATGAATGATTATCGTAACTTCTTCAGGAAGTTGATAACATTGAGATCCAAACCATCAAGGAGTTCCAAAATTTTTAAATAATCGTTTTATGAATTGATATACTCAGTTAATAGGTAAAAATTTCTTAGTCTTAGACACTAGAAAAATTAAGATCAGCCGAAAAGTGTTAAAAATCTGACATACTTAATAAAAGTTTTGGGTTTCTTTCAGAAAAGGTAACAATATAAGAAATACGAAAACATTAGTAGTTTTTTTTTTAATTTAAATAGTGGATTAATAAAGAAACAGTTAAAAAATTTCAAATTTAAATATAGTGTGTTCTATTAAATATATATATATATATATATATATATATATATATATATATATATATATATATATATATATATATATATATATATATATATATATATATATATATATATATATATATATATATATATATATATATATATATATATATATATTATTTACTTGACACACGCTGTACAACATTTTTTTCAATTCATATGTTCAAATAACTATATAGGGGTTCTATAAGAAAAAAATTGATATATGTACTTTGCTCCATATTCACGTGTCATATTTGAAAATAATTTCGATACACTCGTGGGACATCCTGAAGAATTTATTCTTATTATAATTATTCGCTTCTGTAAAAAACAGAGACAGTTCTCATTGCTAACCATCACGTAGATAAGCGCTGCTTCTCCTTGTTGACTAATATCTCTTTAAGGTTGCAAGTAATACAGAACTCTCATTCACTTTGTTCAACATTTAGCTGGAAGAACCCATTTGGCAACTCCTTTCGTAAAAGATCTGAGCGATGGTCATACCGACGTCGGTCAGACTTTGGAACTGCAATGCGTGCTGAGAGAAACGTCTCCGTTTATCGACTTCAAATGGAAGACACCACGAGGGGAATCAAAGGTATATTATAAGGAATATAAGTAAGTAAGGTTAATGAGGAGTTAAAATGTTTATGTGTAAATGATTGCGGGCTTATAATAATGGCTATACGTATTAGCTAATTTAATAAATTCTCAACTTAAAACTAGCAGTAAATTCCAGGATTTTTCACGTATGTCTATGATAGAATCAACTATCAACATAGCATTTATAAGAGCAGATAAAGCAAAGAGAGTCGTAGCTATCGATTCTCTAGAATATATTACAAAAACCAAACAGTTTCTTAAACCATACATATGCCAAAGTATATAATGTGATCCCACCTAGTGATATCAAAAACTAATCAAACTGCAATTACAAAATCGTCACTTTTTAGTGACAGGGGAAAATACCAACTAAAAATTATGAACCACCAAAATCCGTAATTATATTCTTTAATTAAATTACACGAACAGCACCATCAGTTAAACTTTCAACAAGATTACTAAAAATTTTAGAATATCAAATTGAATATAATAAAAGAGGCTTTTATTTTTTTAAGAGAAAACCGTACATCAGATTGAAAAAAATCAAGAAATTAAATTTCTTTAGAAATGATTGGGGAATTATTTTTATTTGAAAATAGGCAGGTCAAATTCTGTATGCGTATTTTTGAGAAATCCTAGTGCACTAAATATTGCATCTTGATACATAGTACTTGAATACCAAATTTCATTAAAATATCTAAGGTAATATTACAGGTATTCAAAAAATATATTTTATTTTTAAACGCTTTACCACCCTGTGTATCTCAAAAGTTTAGGCGTAATGAAATATTGAGATTCGCTAAAATTAGAGACTGCCCGATCTATTTTGATAAGAATTTAAACTTTCATAACAGCTGAGATTAATTTAGTTAACAATAATGAATATATTAGAAATTCGACCTGAGCCAAGTCTTCATAAATTAAGGAGAATGCAATAGAGTCTCCAAGTTATATTTTATGCAATGCGTATATACAAATTTCATTCATTCAAAATCGGACATACAAATACAAAGCAAATATTAAGTCAGCGAACCACCTCTTTGTGAACAACCTCGAAGTGAACGTTTAACTGTGTTATACGAAATTGATTTTTATAATTTAAAATTTAAAACAATGGAAACTGTGGAGAGTTGAGTTGGAAACAATGTGGAACATTGTTTTGGCCCAAAAAAGTTGCATTTACATTTTCTCCTTCGTCCATCATCCACACACATACTATTATTGTCCGGTTTGTCTTGTGTGATTAAAGTAATTATGTTCAGAAGCTCTGTGGTGTGATTAAAAGTAGAAAATTGAACTGAGGCAGCTTTTACTTGATGAAAATCCATTTAACAAAATAAATAAGAACTAAGAGTTCAGAATTTCACGAAATTATATATTTTCATATGACAATTGCTTCGACAACACCGTGTCTTTACCAATCATGTGAATATATATAATTTCGTGAAAATCTAAACTTTTAGTTCTTATTTATTTTGTTAATTATTACTTGCCGGAAGTTCCTGACATTTTTCCTTATAAGCTCTTTTAAAATTACCACTATGATTATTACTTTTTTTTCACTGAAAATTAGAATCGCTGTTACTTAAACTGAATTTGTCGTTCAACAAATTTAAATATCTTAGAGCAAATACGTTAGGTTGCGTTCACTTCACAGTGTTAGATATTGTTATATTGCAGCGCAATCCAATGCTATAAAACAATTATCATACAGCATTAAACAGCTTTAATAAGACATGCCTGAGTAACTATTTTATAATGCTGTCATTAAATTGATTATTCCTTATTATACAGGCCAACAACATTTTGACGTCGGAGGACCAAACTTCGTTGATAGCCACGTACACTAAATACAACGTGACCATCCAAGACAAAGGCGTGTACACTTGCATAGTGTCCGATACTCAAAAACACACTTCGAGCGGGGAAGCCGAGGTTTCAGTTTATGGTAATTTCTCATAAATTAATTTCCACCTAGACATGGTGACCAGTTTAATGGTGACGCCATATCTCAAAACCGGTGAGAGACAAAAAAAAAATAAAGACAAAAGTTTTTTGGATCCACCTACGCTTTTGAAAATGTTGTAGAAAATACTTACACTGGAAATAAGGTATTTGATTTCGAGAAAATAAACAGGGTGGGTTAACCAAGTCCTTTATTTTTTTTTAATTCAATTTGGGATTCTGTACCAAATTTCACGTATAGTAACCTTATATCTACTTTACGTTGTATGAACAGAAGAATAAGAAACATGTAAAAGAAATTGTTCGATGTTTTGAGCCACCCTCTATGATTAACAACAACTTTTGACAGTAGAAGGAATACGAGAGGAATTCTGAGGAATTACACTTAAAAGAGGAATTACTTAGAACTGCGCGTTACCCCTCTTGCATTATAACAACTATATTAGTAAAAATTATTGATTTGTCAAACCTCTATTGCCGACGCCATAGCTAGCCAAGATGGTGAAATCTTTTAGTGCTTGATCGTTTTCCTTTATCATTCCTTTAATATTCTTTGGTTTGGTATACTACTTAGTGTAAGTTTATTAGTAATCATTCTTATTTCGTGTGTAATACAGCGTGTGTTGAATCGTGTGCGAATTATGCAAAATATGTGCGAGTCTAGCGTATCTCAGGAGATGCTCCCGCCTCAATGTAGAAAACACTATGCTATTGAGACTAAGGAAGTTATAAACAATGTTTATTTGACTCTCATTGAACGAGGTGCGAAACGAAAATTCCAACATCAACTGTATGGAAAATTGCGAATAATCCCATTTCAGCGAGGAAAAAAAGAAGCGATGCTGACATTTTCTCGAGTGTAGATGAAAGTGAGCAAGATATAATACGGCGTAAAATTTACCAGTTATACAAAGAACAAAGCGTGCCTACATTATATATTTTAATTAGGAGGCTCGAAAAAGATGAAACCGGTGTTAAATGTGGCAGAACTACCTTATGGAAGTGTACTCAACACATGGGTTTTAGATTTTTAAAAATTGACAAAAGGCAAGTTTTAATCTTTTAGTATTCGGAAATGGCGACTGGAATATCTAGAAAAAAATAGGATTTACAGAGAACAACAAAGGCCAATTATTTACTTGGATGAAACCTGGTTCGACACTTATGATACCCCGGAAAAGGGTTGGGTTGACTCAACTGATAAGTGTAACACAAACGCGCCTTCAAAAAGAGGTAAAAGAATAACTGTTTTGCAAGATTTGCAAGATGGTTGGATTTCAAATGGACTGTCTGCGAAAAATATTAAAGATTCTTCTCTGGACTACCATGAAGACACCACTGTTGATTTATTTGAAAGTTGGTTTGAAAAGAAACTAGTTCCAAACATTCCTCCAAATAGCGTCATTGTAATGGAGAATGCAAGTTATCACAGTAGACAGTTGACTAAAACCCCTTCCTCGTGTGACGCAAAAGCAACAATCCAAAACTACATGAATAATAACGACATTTATTTTCACGAAGATTATACCAAAAAACAATTAATTAGGTTCTACAAAGCTTGAACCTACAAAAGGCATACGTCTGTGATAATTATGCAAAAAATCTAGGGCATACAGTTTTAAGGCACTTACCACTGTATATTTAATCCCATTGAACATGTTTGGCACCCCGTGTTAACTCCAATGTCCTCAAACTTATAGAAACCGAAGTTTTTAACATCCGTCCACAAAGTTGGGCAAATTCTATAGAACATATAACATATAGAAAAAGCAAATAATATAGAACAAATAACAATTAGAACAGGCGATGATAGCGATAGTGATACTGATATATTATATGAATAATTTTAAGTAATTTAAGTAGGTAATAAAAATAATTTGTAATTTTATTTTAGATTTAAACATAAATACATACATAAATAAATAAATATTGTTCAGTATCATTCCTAACAAAACCCCAAATAATTAAATTCTAAGCAAAGTATGAACCTGTTCGGCCATATTTCATTCTTACAGCTTTCCTTAATTCGTATCAGTTAGTCACTTTCTTATATCTATGAACAGACTTTACATGGTGTTTCGTAATTGACATTATATGATATATATATATTGATATATATGATTGATTCTAGATGTAAAAACTATTCCCGAATTTATATCTTAAAAACGCTAATTTAATAATTGCATTCTTCTCGAGATGGATTCAAATGTTTTTTGTCTAATGCCATTTGCTCTGTCAGCTTTAGGCACTAAATTTTGTAAAATATTGGTTGGTTAGGCTCAAATTTTGCAAGAAGAAAACGTATTTTAGGTATAGATCAATGTTTCATAACAATGGCCGAAGAAAACTATCTCTACAAAATTGAAGTAGAGAGACCCAGCGAACCTGTCCAGTGGATAATAAAGGTTAAAAGTCATCCTAAACCCCAACTTAAATGGTAAGTGTTTGTACTGGTTTTTCATGTCCTCAAGATTTTCTACCAGAGACCTTCTTGCAGGAAATTAAAATTACTTATTGAACTTTGATATATACCAAAAACTATAAAGCGATGCGAAAGTTTTTTATTTAGCTCTAATTTTTGTTATTTTGTTAATTTGCTCATTGTATGATGCTTTGCAGTACAAGTACAATAACAACAAGATATTAAAAACTTTTTTTAAAGAGATAAATTATAATATCTCAGCAAAATTTTCATCTGTCAAAATTGACATGTTTTATAAAAAGTTAAACTTTTTTTATTGGAAAAAGTTTTCAGTGTAATTTGTTTTTTAAATTGGATATATTCTTTTTTTACGTTCTTTAAACATATACTTTTTCTATCCGCATCTTAATTCAAAGAAATGGGAGTCTGAATGCTATAATAAAGAATTTTAAATTGGACCATTTCTAAAAAAATATTGGAATATTGAAGAAACTGTCCAAATTGATTCTGATCTGAGAGCACCCCTTTCAACAAGCCCAATATTCAGCTAAGCTGCTATACATTTTTTTTAAATACCATGGGGAATGTCGCTATATCGCTATATAGAGTTACGACTATATATCAAGAACACATTTTTAATTAAATTAAATTAAATTTAATTAATTAATTAATTAATTAAATTTAACTATTAATTAAATTTAATTAAATTTTATATTAAACAATATTTAGATTCCACCTGAATGTCGTTTTTTTTTCATTTATAGAACGAATCAAAAAGTATCATTTATAGCGATCTATTTTTGTAATTAAATTTAACAAAATTTAACGTAATTTTTAAAAATATTTCTCAATATAAAAATTATAAAAATTACTATTATTAAATTGCTTTAACGTAAAAACAGTTTTTTTGACTTAACGCAGAATTCACATTTGTGGCAATTTTCATATGACGACTATGTAGATACGAGGTGTGTTCAAAAAGTAAAGTGACTTTTGTAATTGGACGGGCTACGTACATTCGTTTATTATTTCATTATGTTGGCACGCATGTCCCTAATATATGTTCACAGTTTCAGTCAGTTTGCGCTTTACTTTTTTTGTGAGACAGAAGCGATAGTTGTGTTTTGTGAGCTCGGCGAGTTTCTGCTGTCAAAAAAATGGAACAATGAATTGGCATAAAATTTTTTGTAAAAAATGGAATACAGTGCTGCCAAATACTTGAAATGTTGACAACGGTATATGGCGAATCTACTTTGAGCAAAAAACATGCTTAAAAGTGGTACAAGATGTTCCAAGATGACCTAGAAGAGGCCGATGACGACCCCTTCGACTTTTTCTCAAGAACCCCATGAAAGGAAGGAGATTTGGAACTATTGGAACTCAAGGCTATATATACCAAAAGTGCTGAAAAAAACGTTGACACAAGTCTATTATATCCGGGGTATTACTCTGAAAGGGACAACATTAATTTTGTTAAATATATAAATACTTTTTGATAAAACTTAAAAGTCATTTTATTTTTTGAAAACGCCTCGTACATGTGATACCACTGCAAATTTTATCGATTTCTTTTATTCGATGGATTATACAGGCTGGACCCGATGGGTAGAAAAATCGAAAGCAGTTTCAAATACGCCACCAATATAACGTCCAATATGGCGCTGCTATTGATCAGGAACGTAAGCGTTATGGATTCGGGTATATACGTGCTGCACGGTAAAAGTGCTCGACGAGATAAAACTACTGGTCTGGAAACATGTTTGGCAGAGAAGGAGCTGAAGCTGGAACTTGAAGTTAAAGGTATCAAGCATCCCTTTATATATGTGAAGTGTGTTCTAATCCACATGGTATTTTAGACGCACCTATCGTTGACATAATACACACGCAAGAGTATTATTTGATTAACAGAACCGCGAAAATTAAATGTGTCGCCATCGGAAATCCGGTTCCGTCTATAGTCTGGCAACATAAGAAATGCTTGGACACCAACTGTCAAGTTGAAAAGGTGAGGAAGCATTCGCAAAACCATCCATCGACCCATCATCCATTCTCGCAAATACTGGGGTTAAGTAGATAAAAAAGGGGTGGGGGGATGAGGAACATAAATTTTAAAAGCTCACAGTCTAGCAAGACATCTTAGAGCGTATAGATATGGGTATGTGATGCGAAATGTTCGTTATTATGGCAATCTATTATTCTCTTAAGAAAAGAAAATTTGTTTGAGATTCGGAAAATATGTATTCATAACAAAGTAAGAAATATATGAAGAAAAACAACAAAATAGATTTCTAAAGTTTATATCTTCAGAGCTCTAGAGGTACTCTATAGTGGGACGCAATCTGCAAAATATATGTCTGAAGGAGTACATATCTCCTGAATCACACTTGGGACCTTTCTTGTCAAAATAGCATCCGCCGTATTGGGCACAAAATTCTGATCTATTGTGCTCCCATTGTGATTCCCCGCTGTCCACTGTACGCATTTCCAATTCGCTGTCAGATAAACTGGTATCATCAGTAGCACTTGCATCGCGCTTTTTCTTCTGAATGTTAATTGCGTTCTTGCTTTTTTCTTCTTTTTATTGCCGTCTCTTCTTTCCATTTCTTCCCTGCGTTTTAGCTTTTGCAGTTTTCTTTCGGCTTTTAAAACGCCTTACATCTGCTCTTCTCTCTAATAATTTCCACATTAGAGATATCAAGCGTTCCACCCACCACAACCTTCCAAAGACAATGAATCCGAAAGTCCACTTGTCACTGTTGTCAAAACATCACTGAGCCCATATCAAAAGTTGTTAAGAAATATAACGTCAAAACCGGATTTAATGCTTGTCCAAAAATCTAACAACATATTCGATCCGTCAAAGACAAAATTGCATTTGAGATGCCAGGGGTTTACAGCATTCCAGCATATGCGGCAAAGAATACATTGGGAAGTCCGAACGAAAAATGAAATTAGGCTCAGAGAACATGAAGAGTTTACGACAAATAAACTAACCAGCAGTTGCGGAATCTTTACCTGCCGATGATGATTAGCGAAACGTCAGGAAGTTTGATTTATAAACTACAGTATTAGTTGTCAAAATATACATTTAAAAATAGCACCATCAGACCAATACACATAAAAATTGAACACATGAACAACAACAATACAAGAAGTGTACGGTGTGGTATGGTTTGTTATGGTATCTGTTTTTTCAATGAAATTGTTATTTTGCCAAGCGATACTATAGATTTCCTGGGTTTGGGGTGAGTGCACCTTTCAACAATATTATGCAATGTGTGATGTAGAAGTGGTCAATATCAGCTTGGTTATTTTAAATTTAACCCCCGGTATGATATTGCATTTCTCGATTCCGAACAAAATTTTGAACATTCTGACCAAGGGTAGTCAATGAGATATTTGATATTTTCTGTCAAAAAAATATTAGACGGAATTTTTCGTTTAAACTGCAATTACTCAATATTGGAAAACAACTTAGAAGCAAGGTTTAAACACAAATAACTTTGACCATGGAGCTGTTACCTACATATCCTAAAACTACACAGAGTGCACCAAAAAATTGTTAAGTTTCGACACGTGCGATTGCCAATTTTTTTTTTCAAATAGAACACCCTGTAATATCTCATTTTTCTTCATTTCTGAGATTAAAAACATTCATTCATTAATTTGTTTAAACAAAGTATGCGGTTTGACGTTTTTCTGACATGTTCGATTGATTTATTTAGAATTCAAAATTGCAATAACGTACATTCAAAAATAAGAAACCTGACATCGATCGCGATGCGCCCTGTATATTTCCAAATATTTTTAAAATATGCAGTAGCTACTCATATATACCATTAGCTGTGCTTGACATACATATAATAGGTCATCTACGTGAATTACCTTGTGTACATGCCATGCGGTTAGATGTATAAAAAGTGCACAAGGTAAACATTTTTAGTATTATACAGGATGTTCCGAAATTAACGTACCGTTATCGAGATACAGGAATACAAAAAAAAACGATTTTTTAATCATTTTGTACAAAACTTTCAAATAGCAAAAGCAATTTTGCGAAACACCTATTTAAAAATTTTAAAAATTAAGAAAAAAATGGTGCCTGATTGCTTTTTCTAAGGTGACACTTGTTTTTCAATTGAATTCATTTTAATGTTGCTTCATTTCAAAATAAAAATTCAAAAACTTCTACTAGCTATTGTACCATAACTTAAAAATAAAATGGTTAAACTGAAGTTTTCCATCTTTTTTTGTCAATGTAAACAAATACCTATTATAATGTACATGTACGTGTGTATAAAATGGATTCTACCGACATAACGACGCTGAAAAGTGATTGAATTTGAAATATTGGAAACAAGGGTGAAACTTTAGGTATTTTGTTTCGTCAAAGACACAAAATAGACAGTCACTCCTAAAATTCCTCGACTCTATGACGTAGTCCTTAAATAAGAACACCAAAAGGATTAGATTTTCAGATCACACAGTGCTGTCGAAACAGCTGTTATGTCACTCTGAACAATTTTGTGTTCTTCAGAGGATATTCTAATTAGTTTTGACGTTGAATCTTTATCTACAAGGAATTATTTCAGACAGAAAATTCCCTTTGTAGGCATTCTTACTATACTAGATTTAACCCTAGGCTATCGGGTCTATAGAAAACCTACCCATGCTGATCGATAGCTGCAATATCAAACCACGTTCGTTATCAAAATATTATACCTTCAACCAGATCAGTCAGGTTTATCAACATCATTACGAAACTCGACACCAATTCCTTCGACAAGCACTTTTTTCTATCCTTCTTCCCAACAAGTTATTTATTTATATATTTATTTATGTTTATCATTTAACAACGATTCTAGTTGTACCATACTGTTGCAGGTTCAAAGACCTACCCATAATATGAAGTACCAAAGCATTTCGTACTTAGAAGTTGACACCGCCAATGAGGGTGAAGTCACGTGTTCTGCATCGAATCCGTTGGGAAAAGGGTACAGAAGTTCCAGGTACCACATTTCAGGTTAGCCGTTATTCCAAGTAAACGATCACCCCTTCCAGTGTTCATTTGTTTTTTCATTGACAAATGATACAGAAGTTTTCCAGTTAATCTTTATGAGGAACATTAATTTTTGTCGAATATCCATTGTAGTTAAGCTTATATTCTCAACAGTTGTAGCACACGATTTGAATCTTAAAACTTCAATTAGTTGCTTTTTTGTATAAGTATCTTCGAAAATAAAGTTCATGCTGACTAAGCAACTATTGCAATACCTCTTTTTTACTACTGATCGTTGGTACTTTCTTAGCTAAAGAGCTGTCATAACTACCATTATTATTTGGGCTGTCTGGTGCGATATAATTCTCATAAAGCTCGTTTGTAACGTCCTGCTGGTAGTCTAATGAGCAGTCTTTAATATTTTTTGCTGAAAGTAGTAAAGCGTTTGGCACCTTAATTCAAGCAGACATCCGAATAAAATTTTGTGCATCCTCCAAGGACGAGTTATTTACTCGTGTAGTGATTGTCTAGTCTTATCTCAAGGTGGATGATGCTTGCAGATGTGAAAGGCGGATTCGATGTATACGATTTTGGGGAAAACGCAGTAGTGGAAAAGGATGGCAGTGTGGTGAAAACCGCCAGCGGAGACGAGTTGGCGTTTTCCTGCGGCGTGGCTCGCGGAAAATCGGACGAGATCAAACTCTTTTACAACGACGTAGAGATAACCGGCAATAGCGATCGTATGTAATCCTCAGCCCCGAGAGCATTAAATAATAATAATAATAATAGCGTTTATTCAAAACTTGCACTTTATACCCAACGGTACAATATACAGATACAAGCAAACATAAAAAATACAAAAAAAATAAATAATAAAAAAATAACTCAATTAAATAAATATTCGCAATTTACAGGGGCTTGGAATGGTTGCAAGCTTTCGTGTTGAGGAAACCAGTAAAAAAAAATATTTTGACCCAAATATGCATTAGTAAAACAGTTAAGTTAAAGTTTAGTCATAGAAACTGTTATTTCTATATAACTCTAGGTGTTTATGAACATGGAACAATTGAAAAAATTACATCAGATCCAAAGGATATTTTGGTTAGTTTCAAATAAAATCTTTTCATCTTAATTGAGAAATGTATTTCTGGAACATTATTTTATGGAAGTTTTTGAAAAGAAAGCCTTCGGCGCCTTCCGTCTAAAACCGAAATTATGGAACCGCGACGTTGATGATACTCTATCAGACCAGATCTAACAATGGATCATTCTGTTTACAGAAAACCTAAATGAATTGTGTTGGTTTACAGAGCCGTAAAATTATCTCAACCCGAGTCACTGAAACCAAAATTACTCCTAACGTTTGCTTTTATTTTTCCACATTAGCGCTCCATCACAAAATACACTTCACCACAACCTTCCAAAACAACCACACATTTGCCACTCTTCTTGTATGTAACAAATTCTTCTGCCAAAGAAAAATTCGAGAATCCATAGACACCTCTACAAACAGTGTATAAGCAGGTACAAATTAGAATATAAGCTAGTTTCAGTTAAGCTCAAGCAATGGGGGGAATGCAGAAGAAATAGTTTTTCACATGATATGTAGAGGGCTCTACTCACTTTTTCCTGAAAATAGATAGATAAAGCAATAGCTTCTAAGTATAACAGTATTCTTCGTTTATTTCTATAAAACACACCTCTAAATCTGGTTCCAATTTCAAAATTCCTCTGAAATCACTGGTTTGATTCTGATGACCTTTTCTTGATTTGATTCTCCGACAACAATCCCAAGTGGAATGGATATATGCGGGATGCAACGGTGAGTCACTCTGTTCAACAATCATAATTAAGTCGATATATGGGGGAGAATATTAATGTTATTTTTCGTAATGTCGAAAACAGTGGATGCATGTATCTTCTTTTCTGTTTCTTTTTCTTGTCGATGTTATTCTTTTTTAGTCCTCCTGCTGTTCAGTATCCATCAAGTATCCATCATCTATTTTCTTCTATTTTGCCTTGTACTTCTTGTAACCTTGACCTTTGGTATGGGATGGATTTCAGTAAAAAAAAGTAATTGATTGGAACATGGCGGTGTTTTTAATTTGGCAGTGTATTCCAAATTCCAACTGGCAAAGGTATACATTCCTGATTTGTAAAAACGCCCCTGTTAAATGAGAAAAGCCTAATAGATTCTCCGCTAAAACTCGAACACACACGAACATTCACGAAAATTCAAATGTTCCCGCCGAAAGTGGCCTAGAATCGTCACTGCTAACTACTTACGCCCTATTAGCATTTTATGTCGTTTCCAATGTTCTGACAAATATTATTAAAAAGTAACTGCTCTTCTAAACGTCACTGATAGTTCATTTCGATAAATTGATGAAGCTAAATTTACCATCCACCAAATGCCTTAGTATTTATATCCGGGGTGCTTCAGATTGGGAACTTTAATCCCATCAATTTTCGTATTTTTCTGAGACTGCCCATGTGAGACAAAAGACATAGACAGCCCAGGACCGTTTAAAATGATTTGTTTAAAATATTTTTAGAACGACTGTGAGTGGGCAAAGCCCAAGGTTTTTTGCCTCCGGTTTCACATTAGGTATTTTCATTTCAACTAGTTAAGACAATCAACAGCCACACAACATTGCTGTAGATTTTTTTGGACTTCCCTAAATTACTAAACAATTTTTTTATACACCTGCTTAAAGTGTTATTATTATTAAATATTTAAATAGTTTACAATGTGAACTATTCATAACATGTAGCTCCCTTTATTTGCTCAAATCTTACTGCTTCTTTATTTTCTTGTGTGTCTTTCCTGCCTAGCACTGTTTTTTTAGATTAGATTTAAAAACTGAGGGTCAAAATCTTTTGTTTTGTTCATCTGAATCGCCTCCTTTTTATTGTATATTATATACGTGAATAAAGTTGCTTATTATTTTTATTATTATTCTATTTTCTTATATATGCAACTAATAGTAATAAAAATTCGCAGTACCACAAGCTGCTTCTATAATCATAATTACCAGCAACCGCGTTAGATATTTATTTCAGAATATTCCAGCAAAGTTGTTTGTATTTCTGGCACTTATTCATTTGTTTTTTATCTTAGGACATTCTCTGGAGAGATCGTTTAATATTTTATCGAATAAGGCAAGGCTTTCGATACAAAAGGGCAACATTTCGGACAGTGGTATTTACAGCTGTCGAATAAGAGACAACAAAAGCGGGAAATACCAGTACAAAAACGTAACTTTCGTAGTATCAGGTATTTACTCCAGGGCAACGCGATGTCTAATGTTGGCATTAAATAAAACTGTTTTAGATCCGCAAAAACCGGAAATTGTGATTACCAATTTGGATAAACCGGTGGATATGGAATACCCGAACGCACCCCTCAAGTTATTTTGCAAGTACAGGGGAATTCCGAAGCCTCTCGTCGAATGGTTTAAGGCGAGTATACCCTTCTTCAACTTATTTTTTTTTAGCAAAAAAACATCAGCAGTGTTAAAAAGAAAATATGAACATATGAGGGCAGCGCCAACTTTCCGGGCCTGAATGTGAAAGAAACAAAGTAGAGTAACAATTTTTAATTATTTTTCAATATAATCTCCCTTAACTTCAATACACTTATTACATCTCTTTTGGTTTGTCTGCAAAATGATCTAAAACAGCAGCCTCTTTTAACTCAACTTCGTCGTTAAACCGCCTTTCATGTAAGTCCTTTTTCAAATATCCAAACAAATAATAGTCTCTGGGGGCCATATTTGGACTATAGGGAGGATGATCTATCTGTTAGAACCCACACTCTAAAATGGCAGCTTGTTCAACACCAGCAATATGGACAGGTGCATTATCGTGCAAAAGACGCACGCCTCTGGTCAGTTTTCCTCGACGTTTTACACGTATGCAGTCTCGCAATTTGTGTAATAATGTTGGGTAATATTTACCATTGATAGTGGTATTAGTTTCTTTAAAATCTATCAAAATAATTCCTTCACAATCCCAAAAGATCGTGGCCATCAAGTTTTTTGTTCATGGGCAGACTCTAAATTTTCTTGGACGTGCTTCACCCTTACGACGCCACTCCATTGATTCTTTTTTCGATAGAGGGTCATAATAGAGAACCATAGTTTCATCTCCTGTTACAATAGTTTCTATCACAGGCTTCGGTTCCGACCCACAGAGTTCCAAAAAAGACCGCGCACACTCGATACGGTGTTGTTTTTGAATAGCCGAAAGGTTTTTAGGGACCCATCTTGCATTAACCTTATGCATACCTAAATGATCATGCAGGATTCGACGAACACTTGTACCAGAAAGCTTAGTAATTTCTGAAATTTCCTGGACGTTTAAACGTCGATCACTCAATACCACCTCTTCCACAATCGCAACAATATCTTCCGCAATGTCCTCCACTGGTGTACCAGTTCTTGAATTATCTTTAAGAGACTCCTGTCCCATTCGAAAACGTTTTGCCTATTCTTTCACTACAGAATACAAAGGAGAACTTTGGCTGTACACACCATCCAGCCTTTCTTTAATAATTTTAGGTGCTAACCCTTCTTTTGTCAAAAACATTATGACTGCTCTATACTCAATTTGCGTTATTTGCGACATTTTTTTGGACACGTCAGGCAGGATTTCAATTTTTTTTGTCAGCCTACTAAGATATATATTTAAAAGAAGACAAAGTTTTATAGTGACACTGGAGCTGCATCTATGTCAGGCCGGTAAATTTTGGCGCTAACTTCGTATGTCCATATGAACCATATGAACATATGTCCTAAACTTCTTAACTTTTGATATACAGGGTTGTAAATTAATTAATATATTCTAAAGGAATTTGGCACACATATACTATGTACCAGGAGGTATTATTTGGCGTGCCACATTTAAAAAAAATAAACCAGTAGCGGGAGTGCGGAATTTCACGTATCTATTTTGGCAAGCATTGACGGTACGCCACTGATTTCTCTTAAAATAAAAAATCTAAATTTGTAAGGAAATTTATTTTCTTCATTTTTTTTCTAAAAAAAAAATATGAAATCAAATCTGCTCACAAATGAATGCAAGCGTCATTATTTTGTTTATCGAAATCAGTGGAGTGCCACTGTCTATGAAAAAGTATTTTGATTAATTTGGTCGTCACTGCACTGCCCTGGTTAAATCGAGAACTTTTTTTGTGAAAAATAAAATATCTGTCTGAAACTTTTACAGTTTTAATGAAATAACATAACATTTTAATAAAACAAACAGATAATTACTTAACTAAGAAATAAACATGATAATAATTTTATCAATTCTGTCATATTAACGATATTGCTATGAGCTTGCACAAAAGAGGTTTAGAGATTGTAAGAATAAATTTAATTCTAAGAAAAATCAGTGGCGTACCGTCAATGTCTGCAAAAATAGACAGGTGAAATTCCGTATTTTCGAAAATGATTTATTTTAAAAAACTGTACATTTTACTATTAAACAAAACAAAACGTGATTTCGGGTTAGAATTACTCGCAACTGAACAGATTGAAGAAATTGCATTTATTTCATAACAAGTGGAAAGTACATCAAACGTTTGGCCTACATGTGAAATAAATTCTAACTTATAAAAACACTAGATACTAAATCATACTTTCAGGGAGCAGCAAGAATAAAACAGCAATTCTTCTTATTTTTTCTGGGACACAAACATTTGACTTAAATAACTATCAAACACCAAACTTGATCTAAAAATACTACTCTAGTTGTCAGTGTAAAAGTAGTATGAAGAAGAAAATATGAAATATCGTTCAACTATTTTTACACTTCAGGATGGTGTTATCCTCAAAACTTCGGAACATGTATTTTTGGAAGAAAACAACCAGGTCCTTATATTCAACAAGACGCGTATAGAAGACGAAGGTTCGTACAAGTGTGAAGTTTCCAACAACATGGGAGTGACCTTCAAGGAAACCCAATTGAAGTTCAAATGTAAGTTACATTATGCGTTTTAAAGTACTCTGTGCTGGAATCGGCTTCTTTTTAGACAAACATCAAAATATAATCGTCTATTACTACATGATAGGGGCTATAGGTGTTCTGTTGTTGATCGCTACAATCTACATCGTGATCAAAGTCAGGAAGGAAAGGGTAAGTTGAAATACGGTGGAGGATTTACTTACCAAAGTGAAATAAACTTTAGAAATTGAAAATGGAGCTCAAGCTGCTTGGATTGGAAAACTTCCACAAGGGCAATCCAGAAAATTTAAATCCAGAACTGGGCATCGATGACCAAGCGGAGTTGCTACCATACAAGAAGGAGTGGGAGTTCCCTGTCGAGCAACTTAAACTAGGTGATTATACTGAGTAAACTTTTCTCCGCGATTTTTTTTGAAGCCTGATAACTTTTGACCGGCTAGAGGTACAGGCTTCAAATTTATTCCCGTCCTGAGTAATTGGCGCCCCTCAGCGTCCCCCGCAATACGGAGACGATCCGACATCGGCCGCCATTTTTCTGGCTATTTTTGGTTTTCGCTGCGAACTAAAAATATTTCGCGCTATCGAGCAGAAACTCGGCAGGAAATTAGAATTCCGTTTCCCGATGGAACCTATCTATCTGGGTCAGGAGCATTTTTTCAAAAATTTTGAAAAATTTTTTTTTCGGAAAAATCTAACGTAGATGTGTAGCTTAGGCAAAACTGCACGAGGGCAGCGCCAAAATTTCCCGGCCTGAATATGAAAGAAACAAAGTTGAGTAACATTTTTTTATTATTTTTCAATATAATTCCTCTTAACTTCAATACACTTATTACATCTCTTTATTAACAACTCAATCCATTTAAAAAAATATTCTTTTGGTGTGTCTGCAAAATAAGCTAAAACAGCCTCTTTTAACTCAATCTGGACTATAGGGAGGATGATCTATCTGTTGGAATCCACACTCTAAAATGGCAGCTTGTGAAACACCAGCAGTATGGACAGGTGCATTATCGTGCAAAAGACGCACGCCTCTGGTCAGTTTTCCTCGACGTTTTACACTTATGCAGTCTCGCAATTTATGTAATAATGTTGGGTAATATTTACCATTGACAGTGGTATTAGTTTCTTTAAAATCTATCAAAAGAATTACTTCACAATCCCAAAAGATCGTGGCCATCAACTTTTTTGTTGACTGGCAGATTCTGAATTTTCTTGGAGGTGCTTCACCCTTACGACGGAACTCCGTTGATTCTTTTTTCGATAGAGGGTCATAATGGTTTCATCTCCCGTCACAATAGTTTCTATCACAGGCTTCGGTTCCGACCCACAGAGTTCCAAAAAACACCGCGCAAGCTCGACACGGCGTTGTTTTTGAATAGCCGAAAGGTTTTTAGGAACCCATCTTGCACTAACCTTATGCATACCGAAATGATCATGCAGGATTCGACGAACACTTGTATCAGAAAGCTTAGTAATTTCTGAGATTTTCTTGACCTTTAAACGTCGATCACTTAATATCACCTCTTCCACAATCGCAACAATATCTTCGTTATGACCTCCCCTGGTCGACCAGTTTTTGAATCATCTTCAAGGGACTCCTGCCCCATTCGAAAACGTTTTGCCCATTCTTTCACAACAGAATACGAAGGAGAACTTTGGCTGTACACACCATCCAGTCTTTCTTTAATAATTTTAGGTGGCAACCCTTCTTTTGTCAAAAACTTTATGACTGCTCTATACTCAATTTGCGTTATTTGCGACATTTTTTCGGGCACGTCTTGTTTAAAATGCTGTCAATAAAAAACTATTTGACGCAAGACTTCAATTTCTTTTTCGCAGCCTACTAAGATATATATTTAAAGGAAGACAAAGTTTTATCGTGATACTGGAGCCGCATCTATGTCAGGCCTTGAAATTCTGGCGCTAACCTCGTACATTGTGTTTCGGTTATCAGCAAAAAAAACGAAATTACTATTTATCAGAGTAAATTGTTGGAGTAATATACGGTTTTGTAGACTTCTACAACGCACGCCAGTCTTAAAACGCCTATCCATCTGTGGCTCTTTCAATTTTTTCACTCCAGGAGTATTTAGGTCAGTCTCTTTTACTTTTGTCACTACGTTGCGTCACTTGCTTAAATATTCTTCAATTGGTCATTCTTTCTTAGTGCCTAAACGATATACTTGTGCTGCTTTCCACCAGAAATCGGAATAAATTAGATATTTTTTCATTCTTAGTAGTACCGAAATTCAATGCTCCAATGACTTTCCCCTCCATACTAATTAAAAAGATATTAAGAGAGCTGGTAAGATTACGGAGAGGCTGAACCGCTTATAATTATTATTTATTTTTTTAATTTTTTGCTTGCTGTTTTTCTTTTTTTCTTTTTGTCATTTTTGAATATTGCCCTTGCTTTTTCCAGTGTCTGTTTTTTTCTCTCTTTCTTTTTTTACATACTTCAAATGGTGAATTTTGGTGGATTTAAGGAACTTATTTATATGTGTTTTTTCTCTTGTTAAATTCGGAATATTCTACTACATTGTATTGGTGGTTAGGTGGAGTAGCGCTGCTTATTATTGTTGTTAATAATGGTCAGTTATTTTTAAGGCAGCAGTGGTACAGCTGAATCCATGTTTCAGTTGTTTGAGTTGTAATATCCTGCCTCATTAGATAATTCATAACTTTTTCTAATACTTGTGAATGTACTGGTACACTTCAGACATTTTCTAAGAAGCAAGATTTCTTGCTGAACTTTGTGAAAGTGGTTACTTAAATCTCTGGGTTTATTAGAATCGTTAGGTAATTTTCTGTGGTTGTTTTTTATGGTGTATATTAAGATTGTTAGGTTTGGAGCAAACCAGTCTCGAATTGTTTAATGAATTCTTCTTCTTCTTCTAGTGCCTTATCTGTTGACGTTTATATTGGCCCATCTAACTTTGTCTACTGCCACCGGGAACAGTTCGATAGATATCGGGATCTCTTTCGCCTTCTAGTTTTCGCTGTGTTATAAATTTGACTATCCGATATTTTCCATTTCTTATAATATGCCAGAAATCCCCACTCGCTTTTCTACAGCTGCTGTAAGAGTCCAGTCTTCCGCACCATAGAGCATTACAGAGAAAACGTAACATTAGCAGAATCGCAATCGTATTTGGAGATTACAGAGAATGTTTCTGAAGCGGTTGAATGCTGAGCGTGCTTTTTCTATTCCAGTAATAATTTCCCGAAGATGATCTCATCTTTGTACGATTTTTTGATTTATTAATGTTCATCATTAAAATGACATAGGCACAAATCAATCGCTTATTTTCTAAGCTGCATTTGCAGAGCATTTTGTACATTTTTGTTGGAGTAGTAAATAAATGATATAGATCTAGATGAATGATCTGTGTTTTACCTTTATTAGTATCCCTAATAATATCCTAAATGATACTTAAGAGGGCAGTAGTGGAGCTGAATTCAGACCTGGATCAGATTGAGACGTTGGTGAAACCCAAAATTTTTGGACCTGGAAATATACTTATCGAAGAGAAATGTCAATGTCATTGTCAAAAATCGTAAGCATGTTTTTAAAAGTTTTTGTTTAAGAGTGTTTAAGAGTTTATGTTGCAATAAGGGCAGGCTCGATTTTTATTTATATTAAAAATAAAAAGATATTTTTTAACTTTTAAATAACCTTAAACTTAAAAAGTGCAAGAATTGTAACAAGTTTAGAAGTTGGTTGGACAGTATTTTGTGCAGTCTAGATCCGCATCGATCACAGTTTATCGAGATTATTAAATTTTGCTCCAAAATCGTTTGGGATTGTTACGCTAGAGAATGAAGCAATTATTTTTAACGTAATAGCTGAAACTAACCTCTAGGGAAGCAGCTGGGGTCCGGAGCTTTCGGGGTCGTAATGAAAGCTGAAGCCCGGAGAATTATCGATGGCGAAGAGAAGACAACTGTTGCGGTAAAGATGGTAAAGAAAAATGCTGACCAGAGTTACATCCGAGCGCTAGCGTCTGAGCTGAAGATAATGGTGCATCTCGGGAAACATGTAAATGTGGTCAACCTATTGGGAGCTTGCACCAAGAACGTCGCCAAAAGTATGTCCGCTAAAATAATTCAGTAGAAGTATTAAGAGATTGTCGAACTTCCATGGTGTTTATTTTTGTTCACATAACATTTTGGGCAAATATCTCACTACCCGTTATCAAGTGAAGACTAATATTATGACTTTATATTCCGGATTCCACACCTTTATCGACTTCCAAAAATCCACACGGATAACGATTCTTTCTCTTTCAAATCGTCCAGCCACTTGTGGGAAAAACTTCTCCATTTGTAGGGTGAAAACGACAAATTTGTGAAGTAATTGAACTTTTTGGTTTCCCAACCAAAAAACTTTGTTATTTTGAAGGAAATAAGAGCAATTTTCTCCAACTGAGGATTAAATTTATTGAAAAATCAAAGTGCAGTACTTGGTAGTGGCAAAAATAAAAGTTTTTAATAAAAACAGAGTGATTCTGGCTATTTTAGTTGAAAACATGATCATATGAACAACTTTTTTATAGAAGCTCCTAATAAAATAGTTAAGAAAATTAAGAAGTCATCTACCATGCACAGAAATTAATTTGTAAATGTAATTGGAAGCTTCCTTGATAGTATGTACATTAGACTTTTCTCTTAAGACTAAATATCGAATTTAATAAAAAAATAAAATAAAAAACAAAAATTCTTGCCTTGTGCCTTTTGTAATATTCAAAAAGTGTGCCGGCTATACCCTGAGCCCATTGACCTCCCTGATCATTAACAGAGGGAGTTTTTCCTACCGCCCTGAAAGTTTCCCTTGTGGCCCCCACCTTTCAAAAAGACGACAGGAATTCTGCAGAAAATTATCGTCCAATAGCAATCACATCATGCTTTGCTAAAATATTTGAATACGCCATGATTTTCCACTTGACCGATTATTTAAGTGAAAACAAAATTTTGTCTGAAAGTCAGCACATTTTTGGAGCATGGTATCAACTGAATTGAGTCTGGAGAGCACCCTGCTGTGATATTTTGTGATCTTAGCAGGGCGTTTGACCACGAAATTCTTTCGAATAGGATGGAACAATACGGAATTCGTGGAATAGCTCTGAACTGGTTCAAATCGTTCTTAACAAATCGTAGGCGGTATGTTGAAATAAGGCAGGAGAGGGACAACTTGTGTCAAATTAAAAAATCCCATATCCAATCTGCAGATAGAGGCGTACCGCAAGGTATAGTGCTTGGCCCTGCTTTATTTATCCTTTTTATCAATGAACTTTCTGCTCACCTACCTTGTTTGGGTCTATCGCTGATGACTGTTCAAGTTTAGTCTCCTCACACTGATATAAAACTCTTCAAGACAGAATTAATTTAGCACTTGTCCTGCTAAATAGCTGGTTTAACGCCAACGAACTCTTTTTGAATGCCCAAAAAACAAGTGTACTGATATTCAAATGCCCACAAAACAAAAAAGATCCTTCTGTGAATGTCTGGTCGAGCGGGGAGACCTTTGAAATAAAAAAGCACTCTAAATTTTTAGGATTAGAGCTCGGCGAAACCCTATCTTGATAAACTCAATGCCAATTACTTTCTTCAAAGCTGCATAGTTATTGTCTCCTAATAAAAAAATTTAAAACTGTTTTGACTGGAGAGTGCATGATAAATTTCTACTCTGCTCACATCTATTCGAGATTACTCTATGGTATTCCCTTTTGGGGAAATTCAAGTCATGCGACATCTGTTTTCAAACACCAAAAAAAAGTCCTATTGCTGGAGTGTCGCCGAATAGTACGTGCATTCCCCTCTTTCGGGAGTTTAAAATACTGCCTTTAGCGTGTATATACATATTAGAAGTTTGTTTATGGGTATGGTCTGTTCATAAATATAAGAATGTGACCAATTGCTTTGAATGGGATTATCCAAGGGTGGTCATTAACATACAATGCAACAAGATTATTGCCTAAAGTTTCAGAATTTAAATACAGGTAAAATTGTTTTGCGTAATTGAAAATAATTATATACCTACCTGTGTTTAATATTTTTTGGTTTGGTATACTACTTAGTTTAAGTTTATTAGTAATCATTTTTATTTCATGAGTAATACAGCGTATGTTGAATCGTGTGCGAATTATGCAAAATACGTGAGAGTCTAGTGTATCTCAGCAGATGCTCCCGCACAAATGTAGAAAACACTATTCTATTGATACTAAGGAAGTTATAAACAATGTTTATTTAACTGTCATTGAACGTGGTGCCAGAAGAAACGGTCACATTGACAAAAATTCCAACATCAACTGTATGGAAAATTGTGAATAATTCCATTTCAGCTAGGAAAAAAAGAAGCGATGTTGACATTTTCTCTAGTGTAGATGAAAGCGATCAAGATATAATACGGCGGAAAATTTACCGGTAATAAGAGGAACAAAGCGTGCCTACATTAGATATCTTAATTAGGAGGTTTCAAAAAGATGAAACCGGTGTTAAATGTGGCAGAACTACCTTATGGAAGTGTATTCAACACATGGGTTTTAGATTTAAAAAAAATGACAAAAGGCAAGTTTTAATGGAATCTTTTAGAATTCAGAAATGGCGACTGGAATATCTAGAAAAAAATAGGATTTACAGAGAACAACAAAGGCCAATTATTTACTTGGATGGAACCTGGTTCGACACTTATGATACTCCGGTAAAGGGTTGGGTTGACTAAACTGATAAGTGTAAAACCAACGCGCCATCAAAAAGAGGTAAAAGAATAACTATTTTGCATGCTGGCTCTAAAGATGGTTGGATTCCAAATGGACTTTCTCTGTCTGCGAAAAATATTAAAGATTCTTCTCTGGATTACCATGAAGACACCACCGCTGATTTATTTGAAAGTTGGTTTAAAAACAAACTAATTCCAAAAATTCCTCCGTAGCGTCATTGTAGTGGACAATGCAAGTTAACATAGTAGACAGTTGACCCTTCCTCTTGTGACACAAAAGCAACAATCCAAAACTACATGTATAATAACGACATTCATTTTCACGAAGATTATACCAAAAAGCAATTAATTGAGGTTCTACAAAGTTTGAACCTACAAAAGGAATACGTCTGTGATAATGATGCAAAAAATCTAGGGCATACAGTTTTAAGGCTTCCACCTTACCACTGTATATTTAATCCCATTGAACATCTTTGGCACCAACTGAAATCTGCCATTCGTCGTAACAATGTTTTTCCCCTTGTTAACTCAATGTCCTCAAACTTATATAGAAACCGAAGTTTTTAACATCGCTCCACAAAGTTGGGGGGCAAATTCTTTTAAACATATAGAATATATTATGTGAATAATTTTGAGTAATTTAAGTAGGTAATAAAAATAATTTGTAATTTTATTTTGGATTTAAACATAAATACATACATAGATAAATAAATATTGTTTGGTATCTTTCCTAACAAAACCTAAAATAATTAAATTCTAAGCAAAGTATGAACCTGTTCGGCCATATTTCATTCTTACAGCTTTCCTTAATTCGTATCAGTTAGTCACTTTCTTATATCTATGAACAGACTTTGCATGGTGTTTCGTAATTGACATTATATGATATACATTGATATATATGATTGATTCTAGATGTAAAATCTATTCCCGAATTTATATCTTAAAAACGCTAATTTAATAATTGCATTCTTCTCGAGATGGATTCAAATGTTTTTTGTCTAATGCCATTTGCTCTGTCAGCTTTAGGCACTAAATTTTGTAAAATATTGGTTGGTTAGGCTCAAATTTTGCAAGAAGAAAAGGTATTTTTAGGTATAGATCAATGTATGGACCTGTTCGACCATATTTCATTCTTACAGCTTGCCCGGGTCTTTCCTAAATTCGTATCATTTAGTCACTTTCTTATATCTATGAACAGATTATACTAGCCAATATGAAAGTAAGAACGGAATCTCACAGTGAAAACAGAAAAAAAATAAAGACAATAGAGTTCAATGATCTCATTTTTGGTGTTTACAGGAGAACTCTATGTCATCGTCGAATATTGCCGATATGGGAACTTGCAAAATTACCTGCTGAGACACAGAGATAGTTTTGTGAACCAGATTCAGCCGAGGACCGGAAAACTGGACTTCAGTATAGGGTCGGAATTTCTGGACAGGTCGTATTCTGTGACCAGCGACAACGGGTAAGGATTCAAAACGAAATATCCTTGTATAGGAAACGCTCAACTAATGCTTTACGAGTAACCAACGTACTAACTATTATTATTTTTAGTGTTATCTATTATAGAAATGGGAGTTCGGAAAAACCTATTTCCGAACTTGATAGAGCAAAATGGGCTTACACGTCAAGTGCTCGATGTTTGAGAAACATTTTATGGCCAAAACCGCCTGATACGAGGGCTACCTTTTATATTTCGGGATTTGTAATAAAAAACTGTAACCTACCAACAAATACGACTTTATTGTTTCTGAAAATAGTCACCCTGATGATCAATACACTTTTGCCTTCGATAAAACCAATCATCAAAGCACATCGAGTCGGGCACCTCCAAAACATGATTTTTAAACGCATCAATCGCGTCTTCTGGTGTTAAAAATCGTCACACGCGGAATTTATTACGTAAAATAAGTCATTAGGTGCTAAATTAGGACTATATGGTGGATGGCCCATCAAATGAACGTTTTTAATGTTCAAAGAGTTCTTTGTTTGCACTGATCGAGAGCTAGCATTATCGTTGTGGAGAGTGATTCGTCTTCGGCGGTTAGTTTTTCCAATTTCTCCGAAGACTTTCGGAAAACAAATGTGTACCATTCAGAATTGGCTGTTTTACTTTTCAGCAAAGAAACAGTTGCTACATGGTCAGTTTCCCTGAAAAAACAAGCTACCATTTGTTTCGAGGTTCACAATCAATTTTTGTGGGCTTTGTCTCATTCTGAAAGACCCACACTGTCCTCTGCTGCTTAGTTTCAGGATCATATGCATAGATCCATGATTCATCACCTGTCACGATATCATAAACGTGTTTGGAAGTATTTTTTAGCATTTCATTCGACCAGTAAGTCACATGACGATAGTGCAAAATCAGTTCCCGCACTGCATCAATGTTTCCTGGGACAACCACCGATTTTGGACGACCTTCACGAAATTGATCCCTAAAAAAACTACGACCACTACTGAAGTCCGAAAATCAGCTATAAACAGTAGTCCTAGATGATGCTTTAACTCCAAAAGTCGATTTAAGTTCATCGATGCATTATTGTTGAGTTAGTCCACGTCTAAAGTTATAAAAAGTTACTACGCAAAAATGCTCCCGATTAAGTTCCATTTTTAAGCGTCACAATTTTTTTAAATTTATCACAATAAACAGTGTTTCGCCAAAACCTAACTGAGTAAACCTAACCACAAAATGTCAAACTTCCCTACAAAAACGTTAGCCGCCAGATGGCAGCACTAGTTTAAGAAAATCCCGAAATATAAAAGGCAGTCCTCTTATCCTCACTCTATATCTTTACTACCAACGGAGATATAGGACGTTTTTCAATTTTCGACCTTTTGGAAAATTGACGATAACTTTTTTATTTACCAAACTTTTAGATTCGGATACAAACATTATTATTAAGGTAAATGCGGTGGCGTGCTCAGATTTTTTTTTACAGTTCTCTATTTTCCCTAAAATATTAAAATTCAAATTGTATTCAAAAATTAAAGTGAACATATCAAATGGTTCTTAGGATTTGTGGTATTTTAAATTGGCCTTAGCTTTTTTAAATCATTTTAAAGTTTTCCATGTGATATAAACAAAGGATGCCCTATATTTCCTTTTTCCATCACAGAGTTATATAGTTGAAAAGAGCTAGATACGGGCATTGTTTTAAGACCATAGCCAACTATGATTGTCATATAAAATAAGAAAGTTGTATTCATTTATGAGAAAACGGAGAACTCTAAAAATAATCTGAGTACGCACTCCATTTGGGTATTCCTGCACATTATCTTCGTTATTTTTACGGATATGGATGACGTTAACAAAATTTTCTTTGTCCTTTTAATTTTTAAGATGCAAAGCTAAATTGAAAATATTTTCCTAAATAAATGCTTACTTAAATTGGATATTACTAACGAAGAATTAGATTAGATAGCTAGATATTATTTTATGAAAAAAGTTGCCATAAAGATTTCCAATAAATCCAATATAATACGGGTTATTTTTTTAATATTTTTTAAAATAAATTTAAATATATTGGATTCCTGCAACTGAGCTGGAAATTTTGTAAACTTTTTCTATGATGATGATGATGAAGTTATTTTTAGACGAATTGTTCCCAATATTTTTAGAATGTTAAAAAGTATTTTTATGAAAAATGAACATACAATAAAATAGTGACACACGAAAGTAGTAGACTTGGCCGCTGTATCTTAGGGAAGTAGCGAAATTAATTAGTCAGTGGCGTACATTAGCCAAGTCAACCCCTTATCACTAGAAACAACCCTGCCAGATTTCAAATTATTTAAAAGAAAACACCCTGTATCTTGCAAAAATGCATTACCGGACCTACATCTACAGAAGCTTTATTCATGAAATGATCTGAGGATTCACTATCTCGCGTATTTTTTTAACACCCCGTATAAAGTGAACGGCTACAATATGGAACAATTACATTATTTGATTTCGAGAAAAAAATATTTTTAGGTTGAGTCTCGTATATCTCACATTCTTTTTACAGAATAAAAAACAGAAGACTAATTTTGTTAAATGGTTACAATTACATTTCCGTCATATGGAGCATCTAAATGAAACGCAAAGAATTGAAGTTTTAATGGATATGGAAACAAAACGGGAATTCAAGAAGTTTGTAATTTGTTTAACGCAAAATATCCAGAAAACCCGTCATAAGAACTATAGCTAGTAAAATTAAAAGAAAATTATTAAAAATACTTTATTAGAAGTTATTCGACAAGTGCTTGAACATTTACATACTCCATTTCTAGGACAATGCTTGTTAGAATGGCCGCCAAGATCTCCAGATATTACACCACTAGATTTTTTCCTCTTAACGTCGAAAGTGTATAAAAAATAACCAGGAAATGCACGTTGTATATTTTTGTTTACTGCAAAAATGCGCAAAAAAAAAGATGAACGTTTGCGACCAATACCTGACCTTTAAACGAATTTTTAGCAGTTCACTGTATATCTACTAACATTAGGCTAGTGCATGAAATTTTCCGCATGAAGGTTTTCTTTGCTGTAGTAAGAGTGTGACTGCTTTACAATACGCCACGTTGGCATTTTCTGACAGCATTGGACCCCCCACACCACACGCCAGCATGCAGGATTATAGAGGGAAATGCGATAGCATCACCGGTAGTTCCAATGCAACACAAATGACAACTTTGCCAGGTAATTTCTTCATATGTTTACGAATTAGTGTAGAATTAGCAAATGCTATAGCGAGGGAGCGTCAACTATGTTTGGTAAACTCAAAATACCCCAAAATATAACGCAAAAACTATCACAATTAAATTAGAACAAAAAATGTTCAGATTTTCACAGTGCTTTATGACACCGTCCCTTTATCAAATACAAAATATGACAATATTCAATTTTCTTTTGTAACAGCACCATCAGTTAAATTCTCAACAAGATGAATAAAAAATTTTAGAATATCATACTGCATTTAAACCTGGACACGTTATCAAAAATTCATTCCAACTGAAACTTAGTAATGACATCTTCGATCAGTGTCTTTGAATAACCGTTCTCCATGGGATCTTCTTTAATTCGTTCAACTTCGTGGTTCCTACAGATGGTCTGTGCTCATTTATGTAGTGATTGGATTATTCCTCGTTTGATTTCGGGTATTGGCCTATATGTGTAGAGGTAAAGTCTGTTCATAGATATAAGAAAGTGACTAACTGATACGAATTAACGAAAGACCCGGGCAAGTTGTAAGAATGAAATATGGCCGAATAGGTCCGCACTTCGCTTAGAATTTAATATATAGTAAACAATATTTATTTATTTATGTATAAATAAAATTGCAAATTATTTTTATTACCTACTTAAATTACTTAAAATTATTCACATAATATATCAGTATCACTATGGCTATCATCGCCTGTTGTAATTATTATTTGTTCTATATTATTTGCAATATGGATATACTATTGTTCTGCTTTTTCTATGTTTAAAAAAATTTGCCCAACTTTGTGGAGGGATGTTAAAATCTTCAGTTTCTATAAGATTAAGGACATTGGGGTTAACACGGGGAAAAAATTGTTACGAAGAATGGCAGATTTCGGTTGGTGCCAAACACGTTCAATGGGATTAAATATACAGTGGTAAGGTGGAAGCCTTACAACTGTATGCCCTTGATTTTTTGCATAATTATCACAGACGTATTCCTTTTGAAGGTTCAAGCTTTGTAGAACCTGAAATAATTGTTTTCTGGTATAATCTTCGTGAAAATAAATGTAGTTTTGGATTGTTTCTTTTGTGTCACATGAAGAAGGGGCTTTAGTCAATTGTCTACTGCGATAACTTGCATTGTCCATTACAATTACGCTACTAGGGGGAATGTTTGAAACTAGTTCGTTTTTAAACCAACTTTCAAATAAATCAGCGGTGGTGTGTTCATGGTAATCCAGAGAAGAATATTTCATATTTTTCGCAGACAGAGAAAGTCCATTTGGAATCCAACCATCTTTACAGCCAGCATGCAAAATAGTTATTCATTTACCTCTTTTTGATGGCGCGTTTGTTTTACACTTATCAGTTGAGTCAACAAAACCCTTTTCCGGGGTATCATAAGTGTCGAACCAGGTTTCATCCAAGTAAATAATTAGCCTTGGTTGTTCTCTGTAAATACTATTTTTTTCTATTCTAAAATTCTAAAAGATTCCATTAAAACTTGCCTTTTGTCAATTTTTTTAAATCTAAAACCCATGTGTTGAATACACTTCCATAAGGTAGTTCTGCCACATTTAACACCGGTTTCATCTTTTTTTAGCCTCCTAATTAAGATATCTAATGTAGGCACGCTTTGTTCCTAGTATAACTCGTAAATTTTGGGCCGTATTATATCTTGATCACTTTCATCTACATTCCAGAAAATGTCAGCATCGCTTCTTTTTTTCCTCGCTGAAATGGGATTATTCACAATTTTCCATACAGTTGATGTTGGAATTTTTGTCAATGTGACCGTTTCTTCTAAAGATGCTTGCTTGCTGGTAACACGTTCAATGAGAGTCAAAAAAACATTGTTGAGATACACTAGACTCGCACATATTTTGCATAATTCGCACACGATTCGACACACGCTATATATTACACACGAAATAGGAATGATTAGCAATAAACTTAAACTAAGTAGTGACCAAACCAAAGAATATTAAACACAGGTAGGTATAAAATTATTTTCTATTACGGACCACAATTTTACCTGATTTTAAATTCCGAAACTTTAGTTTTGATGACCACCCTTGGATAATCCCATTCAAAAGCAATTTCGTCACTTTCTTATATCTATGAACGGACCGTAGACGGAGGTATTAACTAACCAAGATAACGTGAATTCTATAGACGGAGTGATACCATTACTGTGATCCAGGAAATGTTCCAGCTCTTTGTCCCATGTAGGTGTTGTCGTCATATCTTAACCAACGCTTAGGTACTTAGGTAAGTTGTACTACCGGAGAAAGTGGTGATCTCATCTGCAAAAGTCTTTCAATACCAGTGTGGTTCTTTCTGATCATGTTGAATGTTCTTGAAGCTTTTTCCTAATAATTGCTAGGATTGCGTCCAAAGGTACGTTGGTATATAAACATTTTACATTGACGAAATAATCTTCCTGAATTGAGGGTGTTGCCTTCATTGTTTCAATAAAATAGGCAGAGTTGACCTATGGATCTTTGACAAGCCGCACTAGGCTCGAATATATATTGGAGTTTCTGAAAGTGCCGTCAGGGGGCGCAATTGCGATCGTGATTTTTATAAACTAAGACTAAAACTGCGACAAATTGCAAAACAATTAACTCGTGTGACCTTTTTTCATGCAATTATATTTCCCTTTTTTCTATGTTTGTAGCCTGTGAAATTTTAAACTAATCGCATGTAGGCTTGACTGAAATAACGCTAGAAAAGTTGGCAGCGGATAAAACTACACACATGTGTTAAGTAGAATTTAGTGAGGCTGGTCAGTTTCGTGCTGTTTGCGGCAAATATAAATCAGATCGATGTTTTTGGAATAGAAGATGTATTGTTCATTACTCTTTTGTTTGGTTAGGAACGTCATAAGCTTTAAGACAATGTGTTGCATATGGTTTTAACTGTAATTTCTTATTATATTTTGTATTGTTTGTTCTAACAAGCTAGTAACGAAATATCCATTTCTAAATTTTATTTATTAATAAAGCAATGTTATGAATATTTTCAAAAATTCTAATTATTTCCTTGATATTGAGTATTTTTTGTCACTACGTAGGGTACAAAATTTGCAGTAGTTTTTGGGAAATATGTACTGTCCGTCGACATAGATTGAATAACAATAACCAAAAATTACGTTATATAATAAACTTATTTTAATCTTATTTTAGACAATATAGTTATAATAATATTGTTAACAGTTATTAGTTTTTAATGAACTTATACATAAAACATTTTAAACATAATTCCTACATTCTTAATCTTAATCTAACTTTCATTTATAGAATGAATATCAACCACGATTCGAACGCTTAACTACAATAAAAAATACTCGCCAATTGCATTATTACAAACCATTGGAAATTTTTTCACTAGAATGCAGGCTCGTTTCAGAGGATGAAAAAGTATTCATTTCAAAAAAAATAAATAAAAATAAATGACTACAAATTTACAATTTAATTATTTAAGCTTGTTTGTTCTATTCAGTATGTTATGATTGTTAATATTGTCAAAAAAAAATTATTAATAATAATTATAATAAAATAACATAAATAGTAATAAAATTTGTTTTATAATAATATTTTGTATTATTATTCTAAATTATCACTGATAAAACCTTCAATGCAGTTCGAGACGCTCGGCAGCGCGGCGCTTCCACAGCGCTCGGCGCCCGGTCCGCTGTGGTAACTAAATTCATTTTGTTTAAACTAATGACGAGCAGTCAAATTTTTTTGATTTTTTTTTACCAAGAAATCAGCTAAATTTTCAAATGTTAACTTAAAAGTTAGTTAACAATACGAAAATAAACAAATAATTTTAAGTCGTTAATATATTCTTAAAGTATAGACATTTGACCAGGGATGCTGAAAAGTTCATAAATTTATCTCTTACGGTTGATTTTTAATCCATTTTTTAATTAAGAATGTTTAAAAATTTCATTATAAAAAAATGTTGTTAAAAACAAAATTTTTAAAAATCGTTTCAAGAATCAATTTTTCATCATAAGAACTTATAAAAAATATATATAGATTAATTTTTTATGATCAAGTGCTAAATGGGGGGTCCACTTGACGTGATCTTACTCAGATGCAATCAGTATTTTTGGAATTTACTTTTTTCTATGTATGGAATGTCAAAATTTATCAAAAACATTCATGTACATATAGGAAAATTAAAAATGTTAAGATATTTTCTGGTGAGGCCAAAAATCTTCCAAGTTTGGCTGGTATGCTTGATCTTAATTTTTTTTGTTGATTTAACTTTTTTTATTTTAATTAGGATTGATTTAATGTAGGTTTGTAATTTGATAAATTAGTTAATGTTTGGATTTGGCACTTACAGGTTTTTTAAATCTAGGTGTCTAGGTAAACCAGTCATTGAAATCGAAATAGTGAAATATATCGAAATTATTAAATTGTTAAAAAAAAATCGTTAATGTTTTGGTAACATGTTGGAAAACGTGCTCCTTGTTTTTTATAATACCACTTGTAAAGTAGTAAGTTGTATTTTTAATATTTGATATAAAAAAGTACCTAAAATTTTCATTATAAAAAAAATGTTGCTAAAATCAGAATTTTCAAAAATCATTTGAGGGATCAATGTTACATCATAATTACTTATAAAAAATATATATAGATTAATTTTTTATGGTCAAGTGATGAATAGGGGGTCCACTTGACGTGATCTTGCTCATCTGTTAATTCTACACCTTTCCTTGTAAATGCTTTAAAAATTACCCAATTCAATCAAATTTGAAACTTCTTAACAATTATGTGTGTGTGTTTGGGTGGGGGGGAGGCCATGATTCCTATAAGAAAATTACTTGTAATTGGATATTTCAGATGAGATGATCATGACCAGCAACGGTAGCATGCAACCAGAATGGCGATCCAACTATCGGGGAGACTACAGAGGATGCGTGAAGCCTGTCACTACCCGAGACTTAATAGCCTGGTCTTTTCAAGTGGCTAGGGGCATGGAGTACCTGGCCTCAAGAAGGGTAATAACCTATATAAAGCGCCCTATCGGTCACTACTAATTTAGATATAAATCCTCAAGGTACTACATGGCGATCTGGCTGCCAGGAACATCCTTCTGACGGATGACAATGTAGTGAAGATATGTGATTTCGGACTTGCGAAAACAATGTACAACGACAACAACTATAAAAAGAAAGGAAACGTAAGTTTGGTCACACATCTTCTAGATTCCCCTCAATTCAATCGTCCTGTTGACTTGTTCAGAGCTTCTACTCTGTATCATCTGTTTAAATAGGGACAGCTATAGGTTTTCCATTATCACCAGTCATCAGAAATATATTTATGGAAAATTTTCAGAAGAAAGCCCTCAACATCTAACATATGTTTTACCATTATTCTTTTCTTCCCTCATTAATAGAAAATCAGATCTAACATAACAACTCTCTTATAAAGGGCGTAAAACTATCTCAGCCCGAGCCCCTAGGCTAAAAGAATATGACGAAACGTCGGTTTGCTTGATAGGCTTCGCTGGTGTCAGTCTTGTCAGAAGGCCACAAATGTTTGATTAAAGTCCATTGTTGCCAAGTTATATACAATTTACCCGTTATTTTGCTTTTTCAAAACTTCTGGATTCTTCCTTCGTCGGTTTTTGTTGAGTCGAATTTGATAACGTTTCGTCAATGAGCCTGTTTGATTCTTCAGAGCTTGACTGAGAGGAAACCAGAAGTTTTGTATAAAGAATTACAGTAGCCTGTGGTAGAAAATTTGTACGTTGCTGCTGATATGCAACACAGTAAAAAAAAAACTTGTACATTGTTTTTCCATTGGTGTCTATGGGTATTTGCCTCTACTTTTTTTCGTATGATGAGAATATTTGAGGTTTTTGGTAAATATCTGTAAAACAATTGAGAATTTTAATACACCCGTAACACCAAGATATGCTGTAATTAAATTCTGCACCAAATAATGAAATAAAATACAGGGCGTGCCATTTGAAAATACTATGAAAATCTGTTAACACCCTGTATAAACTAAGAAAAACCTGTTTATTGTCGGAGTATTATTAGACCTCTAGCAAAACTGTTCACAATGTTTAGCAAAACGATCTTTTTTTATTCATTGGTTCCGAAATATGCCAAAAAATACAAGGTGCATCATTTCAAACATATTTATTTTATGACTTCGCTCTCTGAAAAAAGTAGCACGAACATTGATATTTCAAATGGCACACCATGTATGTTATTATGATTATTTTTGAATAATACACCACCTGTTTTTAGTAGTTAAAGGGCCCTTCAATTAATTTTTTTGTACAAACTATGCCACAATCCGATCTTCCCTGCTTTGCACGGCCGTCAAATAGACGCGTGACTGTAACGCACCTAATCGATAAAAATGGCGTGAGATCGGGCGATCTTGCTGGCCAATTCTACAGTCCCAAACGTCGAAACCAATGGTCATTGAATAATTCGTATAATTCTTGTGATAAGAAGGTGACTAACTGATACGAATTAAGGAAAGACCCGGGCAAGCTGTAAGAATGAAATATGGCCGAACAGGTCCGCCTTAAAACTGTATGCCCTAGATTTTTTGCATAATTATCACAGACGTATTCCTTTTGTAGGTTCAAGCTTTGTAGAACCTCAATTAATTGCTTTTTTGATATAATCTTCGTGAAAATAAATGTCGTTATTATACATGTAGTTTTCGGTTGTTGCTTTCAAATAAATCAGCGGTGGTGTCTTCATGGTAATCCAGAGAAGAATCTTTAATATTTTTCGCAGACAGAGAAAGTCCATTTGGAATCCAACCATCTTTAGAGCCAGCATGCAAAATAGTTATTCTTTTACCTCTTCTCCATGGCACGTTTGTTTACACTTATCAGTTAAGTCAAACCAACCCTTTTCCGGGGTATCATAAGTGTCGCACCAGGTTTCATCCAAGTAAATAATTGGCCTTTGTTGTTCTCTGTAAATCCTAATTTTTTCTAGATATTCCAGTCGCCATTTCCGAATTCTAAAAGATTCCATTTTGTCAATTTTTTAAAATCTAGAACCCTTGTGTTGAATACACTTCCATAAGGTAGTTCTGCCACATTTAACACCGGTTTCATCTTTTTCAAGCCTAATGTAGGCACGCTTTGTTCCTCTTATTACTGGTAAATTTTCCGCCGTATTATATCTTGATCGCTTTCATCTACACTAGAGAAAATGTCAGCATCGCTTCTTTTTTTCCTAGCTGAAATGGGATTATTCACAATTTTCCATACAGTTGATGTTGGAATTTTTGTCAATGTGGCCGTTTCTTCTCAAGATGCTTGCTTGCTGGCACCACGTTCAATGAGAGTTAAATAAACATTGGTTTTAACCTCCTTAGTCTCAGTGGAATAGTGTTTTCTACATTTAGGCGGAAGCATCTCCTGAGATACACTAGACTCGCACATATTTCGCATAATTCGCACACTATTCAACACGCGTTGTATTACACACGAAATAAGAATGATTACTAATAAACTTAAACTAAGTAGTATACCAAACCAGAGAATATTAAACACAGGTAGGTATAAAATTATTTTCTATTACGGACCACAATTTTACCTGACTTTAAATTCCGAAACTTTAGCATTGTTCCATTGTATGTTAATGACCACCCTTGGATAATCCCATTCAAAAGCAATTGGTCACTTTCATATATCTATGAACAGACCATACCTCTTCAGTGCAGTGAGCTGGTGGTCCATTTATTGGTATCAAGGGGTCTGAAGTTTCGAAAGGCTGAATCATTTACTACTGTTCCTAATATTTGAAGGTATTTTGCCGTAAAAATAAAAAAGAATGCACTATATATGTATAATTTTTGTATCTAGTAGGCTAATCATTAGTTTTATATAACGTAGAATTAATTTCGATTTTATGGAATTCTGTTCGAAACCTCCCTAAGGTACGTTCGAATTTTTCTGTTGGCTTCAGTGCCGTAGTAATAAAAATTTTACCGAAGTTATAGGAGATAGGTATAGGAAAGTATTATTCAAAAACGGTCATAAAGTATTAGAAATAATACACGTAACACAACTCAACAATAGAACTAACCAAAAGTAACGTTTTACGAAAAGGCTAGGGTGGTGTCTGCATTCACCTATTACATTTCGATAACACCCTGTATGTGGGATTAATTATTCAGGGTTATTTATGTTTCCCAATAGGGTCCGGTTCCGGTGAAGTGGATGGCTGTCGAATCTATCACGGACCGGGTTTTCTCCACCCAGTCGGACATCTGGTCCTTCGGTATCGTGCTATGGGAGTTGTTCTCGCTAGGTAAAACCCCATATCCCGGTATGGAGGCGAACGAGAGGCTGTACAACAGACTCGTCGAAGGTTACAGGATGGAATCTCCCGAGTACGCCCCCAAAGAGGTGTACGTATATATTTCACCCTCACGTTTACGTAACGTAAACCTCAGCCCGTAACCTTGCAGTTACGAGATGATGTTGGACTGTTGGCAGTCCAAACCTTTAGCGAGACCTTCGTTCACCAAATTGGTGGAGAAAATCGGCTGTCTCCTCGAGGACAGCGTGCGGAAGCATTACGTGGATTTGAACGACCCTTACTTGGCGATCAACACTCAGAAGTTCGAAGAGAACGACTACTTAGCGATGCTGAGCCCTCCTTCTTTCGATGTTTTGTCGACCCCGCCCCCTCATTACGCCAATGAGAGTGTCGTGGGCGTGGCCAAAACAGCAAACCGATCCCAGACCGACTCAGTGGCCGATGGGTACTTGTTTATGGGCGGGAACACGATATTTAGTCCCAGAGTGAACGACGACTCAGTGTTTGATTTCAACTTGAGCAGGAGAAAAAACACGAACGAGCTGGAAAGAGGTAGGGTGATGTCCGCAAATGGAGATCATAAAAATTGGAAACTTTTCCTTCCCATTATGCGTAGTTAGAATTAAATACACATATTTTTACTGTTTTCGCCAAAATACTTATTAACACAACATTGCTTTATTGACGAAACCTGAAACTTAAAAGCGGAAATTTCTAGAATCTAATAGAATTTTTTGCCCATAAACGACGTACCCTCTATATAATTCCTGGATCTCCTTAGCTTCTTGGTATGCGAATTTTGCCAATGGAGTAACTAGTTTTCAAGAAAATACTTGCTTTCTGAAACCATGCAGTACGTGCTAATAGCAAATGACTTCATCGCGTCTAGATTGAGGGCGAGAAATGGTGATTTCCATTTTCATTTCATTTTCAAATATCCCAAACAGCGTATGTGATAGACGAAAACGGTAAATACAAAAATCGTAGCTCTCGATGTGGGCTATATAACACTGTTCAAACCAATTGGTCATATTTTTCATGAATTTTGATTTACGGCTAATAATGTAATAGCGAAAAGAACGATTTTCAGAGTCAATAATAAAAAACCCTGTATATAATGGAAGAAATGCCTGAAATGAAAGTTATGGTCCCGGATCTCCCGCATTTCCCGGTTCACAAATTTTACCGATAGGGTTAATAGTTTTCGGGAAAATATTTTTTTTCTGAAAGACAAAATATACAAAAAAAAATGTTTAAAATTTAAAAAAAAATACTTTGCAAAATTAGAGTAAGTCCTTTTTCAGATGAAATACAAGTGTGGCCTTCTACCCTTCTGCCATATTTGAAGACGATACCTGCAAATTTGACACACCTGTGAATTTTTGAATATAGCACTTAATATCTTGAACACCCTGTACAACAGGTGAAAACCATAAATACAAAGGTTTATGCTGTTTATGCGGGCTATGCCGCCATGTAAAATGAACTGACATTCGAAGTACAGTCTTTCCGTTATAGTCAATTTTCCATAATAGGGGGACCCATTTTTCAGTTTTTTTGAAATTGCGGCGCACCCTGTACTTTTTTGAAAAATTTCTAAGAATAAAATTTTATGCAGCCGAATTTTCTGCGTCTTCTCGTTCACTTGGGAAGCTTGCTTTTCAATATTCTTACGTTTGATATTTTAAAGCGGCTTTGAACATTCAGTAACAGCCTCATTCGCAGATGACTTGACTTGACTTAAAAATAGAAAATATAAAGCTTAAGAGATTTACTCAAGCTAAATGTTCAGGCATCATAGTGGACTCTGAGTTAATATTTGAAGCACACGTAGAAAATATTGTAAAAAAGGGCTCGAGAAATCTCGGTTTTGCATTACGTAACACCAAAGACTTTCGGAACCACAAATCAGTAATTCTAATTTATAATAGCGTCATCAAATCCATCTTGGAATCGCAAGTATGTCGAACCTTAATTTTAGATATAATACAGACAGACATTACTTTTCGTATGAAAATAATCTATAGTTTTGGGAGATTATCAGGTTTTATAAAAATTTGCAGTGAACGGGGCGGAAAGTAGACCCATGCTTCACTCTCAGAACGAGTCCGACACGGAACAAGGCTATTTAATTCCGGACGTACCCGCAAACAGCGTCTCCAATCCTAGTTACCATATGCTGCCTGTCAAATCGAGCAGTCCGTCGCCCCGGCAACGGGATTTGATTGGCGCGCCGGACAACTATGTCAACATGCCGCAGTGTAAATCTCTCGCGGACTATAAGGACAAAAACAAGGAGTCGGTGAGAGTCGACATACGCGACAACGGTGGTAACGTGCACTACGTCAACGTGCGGGGGGGAGTGGGGAACGATTGACGTTCGAGAATAATTATGAAAATGCCAAAATCATATAGCTTTAAATGACATAGCGTTGTGATTTCGACACGCGTTTTAATTGGGAAGATTGATTGAAGGATTGCCAACTCCAAAAAAGGGACATGTCACATTTTCAAAAAATTGTTCAGAAAAGGTAAAACACTTAACTTTTTAATTTTTAATTTGAAGCGTATTCTTCGGAATGCATTTTCTAAACGAACGAAAAATTTTGCATTCTGTTTGGTTTTTAATTGCTTGCCCGTCAAAATTGACAGATGGCGTAATCCCCTATCTGCAGTAAGATAAAACGAAAAGCATTTATTTTGACTTTTTACCGTCACATTTTCAAAAACTTGTTCAGAAAACGAAAAAAAACTAACTTTTTAATTTTCATTTTTTTTGTATCGTATTCTTCAGAATACTTTTTGTGAACGGACTAGAAATTTTACATTTACTGCAGTAAAATAAAACTAAAAGCATTTATTTTCAATTTTTACTGTCACATTTTCAAAAAATAGTTCAGAAAATGAAAAAACTAACTTTTTAATTTTCATTTTTTTGTAGCGTATTCTTCAGGATGCGTTTTGTAAACTGAATAGAAATTTTGCACTTTATTTGTTTGTTAATTGTTTGATCGTCCAAATTGACAGATGGAGGTATCCCCTTTTTGTAGTAAAATAAAACGAAAAGCATTTATTTTGACTTTTTACCATCACATTTTTAAAAAAAAGTTCAGAAAATGAAAAAAACTAACTTTTGCGTTTTGTAAACTGATTAGAAATTTTGTATTTTGTTTTTTTTTTAATGCTTGGCCGTCAAAATTAACGTATCCCATATTTTTATTTTGACTTTTCACTGTCATATTTTCAAAATTGTTTAAAAAACGAAATAACTTTTTAATTAATTTTCTTGCAGCGTATTCTTCAGAATACGTTTTATAAACCGTGAAGAAATTTTGTAAATAAATGAAGATGTCCCCTTTCTGCAGTTGGAAATTCAAATAACGTAACTTGTGGTACACATTGATGTGTAGATTTACTATTACATATTTATTTTTATACGAGGGGTGCCGAAAAGAACGGTATATTATAGGTATGTATATAATTTTTAATTGCAAGCAGATTTGACTATTTTCCACGTATTTAATATTTAATTTTCAATTTCAATTGTCACTCACAGGGTGATCAAGTAAAGTTAATATTTTGTTTAATGGTAAAATGGGCATTACTGGAGCTCTTAAAATAAACTTAGTGAATTTAATACAAATAAGCAAGGTAGAAGAAGCGTAGAGAAGGAATTTGGAGCCAGAATTTTATTTCCAGTATGAAGAAAATTTGACAGCAGTGCGATATTTAGATTTATTCAGAATACCATTCCCGAAATTAATTTGACTACAAGATGGCGCTCCGTATCATCGAAGTGCTGATGTCAGAGAATTTTTAAATGGAAATTTTAGACGATCGATTGGGCAAAATGACACCATCTGGCCACCAAGAGGAGCGTATTTAAGCCCACTAGACTTCTTTTTGTGGGGCACTTTAAAAGAGAGAAGTTTTTACATTACAAGTAATTATACAAAGACATAAATCGTTTGGAGGATATACATACCTCTTGCATCATTCAAAATGATGGACACGTGGAAAATATAATATAAAATCATTAATTTTCTTTTTAAAAATTAAATAATCTTAATTTAAAAGAAAAAACTTTATTTGAACGCCCTGTATATAACTGAGTGACAATTGAAGCGATACAAAGAAATTAAAGATCATTTAACCGGAACCAACAATATCCAAGGGTTGGGTAGCATACCCGATATTATTTCATTGTTCTCAGAAGTTTAATTTTAATCAAATTTAAATTTAAATTGAATAATATATTTTTTATAATTTAATATACATACAAATAATAAAATAATGTATATATTACAATGTATCATACTCGTATTTGCATTTTTCTCATTTTTGTATACAAAATTTCGAATTTTTCGACAAATCAAAAACATTCCTTATTTTATGCAATTTTGAACAGAAATAACATTAAAAGTATGACCGTCGTAATTAAACAAAATACAAAAGACGCCGTGCTGATAGTTCTAGCCTCAGTATATAAAAACACGAGAATATAATAAATATTCTTAATAATAAATAAATAAATAATAAAAGGATCTACTTTTTATGAAATGGTATGCAAGGCTCCGGATTGAAAAAAACTGTATTTTTTTGACACACCGTGTATATAAATAGTTATGTAATAGGAATATTTTAGCCCACAACTTTCTTAATAAACTTTTTTCTAAAATGTAAAATAAAAAAGTATAGTACAGATTTTTAAATGTACGATTTATCTCGCTAGACCGTGGTAATACAGAAATATATTTTCAACCCCCACATATGCACATGATGCACATGTATTTTGCTAAGTCTTCAGAACTTAAGTTTGAACTAATTTTTCTACGATTTTTTAAATGGACATGCGGACTTGAACGTAAAGGAGAAGTATGTTTTATATTCAACGTTCGTAATTATGTAAACTGGTATTATGAAGTACTTAATTCGGAAGTGAATTGTTTATGTTGATATGTATGATGATTTGCGTGCGTAACTATTAAGAAAAATGCTTGTTTTTGAAGAAAATGTGCCAACTTTTTACTCAATTTTTGTACAAATAGCCGCTTAATGTTTTTTTGAATATGTATATATTAATTAAATTTATAATTATGCCATATAGGTTTATTTTCTATTATAAACAGTTTCATATTTATAAAATAAATCCACAAAAATTTTATGTGTTGCTTTATTTAAAAAAAAAATACCATTTCAAATTGACAACCAGACCAGATCTACAATTGTGACTAAACCGGCTTAAACTACAAAATCCTGAACCCAAATACCTTACCTTCGAAAAAAAATTTAAAAAGTGCGACAAGTGCGAAATTTAAAATTTGATTTTTTGAAAATTTCGTACCGAAATGTGTTTTGTTACTAGACATTATCTACTCACGCAAGCAGGGGAAATAAAAGCAATGTTTTTTATTCTTACTGTAACCTCTCTCATCTAGCCCAAGGATCAGGGTTTACTGGAAAATTTAAAGGTATATTTTGGAAGAAGTAGATGAGGGTGTCGACCTCATTGAATGTGTAAAAAATAAATAAAAATGTTGTACATTGGATAGCTTCAGCTTGGTATCGTGTAGAAATATCCTGGAAAAATCTTAGTCCAAATTGGAGCAGTTGTGTAGAACGAAAAGAAAAGGTAACTGCCGCTGATGTTCTTGTTATCAAATGTCGGAAAGATTTTGTAACTAAAACAACAGTAGTACCAAACGCGTGCTGTTAAAATTATTATTTTTATTATTTTAAGACAGTAAAGTAAAAAATGGGATATACATTTTTGATTTTACGTTGCAATTAACATGTCTTTTGTGAATGTACATATGTATGCATGTACGTAATACTGTATAAAAAAAAATTTTGTAATAAAAATTAAATAATTTACATAAATACATAAATTCAAGTAAAATATTTTATAAATGTCTCTAAGTCGATCTAATCTAAACTATTATTTTAAAAACATTCGAGAAATCTCGTTTATTCGAAATCACTTTGGTCCACATTACTTCGGATAATCTGGACTGTACTGTATATGAATACATTCTTTTGTATTGCGTATTGTATAATTGCAACTATATCAATAATAAATATATGTATATAAAAAATTTAGTCTTCAGAATAGTTTCAATTTTTGCTATCAGTATCAACCAGTGATATAATTAATGATATATTATTTTAATAATTGTTTTCAATAGTGACAAGAAAACGGTAAATACAACAGTTATAAAGATTCTTAGGATGGACAATTTAAAAATATTTTAAAATTTACAGGGTGGTTCAAAAAGTATGTCGAATAAAACATTCATTTTTTCTAATGGAACAACTTTTCTGTTAATAATTAATAATCCATACCTAAACCTAATAGTTTTTCTCATATTCTAATTTTTTTTTCAAAAAATGTTTTTCACACTTGCAGAAACGTTACGATAAAGACATTAAAGAACACATTTGATATTAGCACTATTTAAAGATGACGTAAAAGATATATGCAACGGAAATTGAATTAGATACTACAAGGTAACTTTTTTTTCAAAGAAGCTTCCACAGGCTACTGTAATGCTTTTTACAAAACTTCTGGGTTCCTCCTGCGTTGGTTTTTGCTTAGTCGAAATTGCTGACGTTTCGCCAATCATCCTGTTGGCTTCTTCAGAGCTTGACTGAAACTTTAGGAGGAGCAGGAGGAATCCAGAAGTTTTGTAAAAAGCATACTACAAGGTGTTCAAAATAAAATGATATATTTGGATTATTTTAAATTAAATGAAGTTTGAAAAAGTCTAGTTTTCGTCTTGGAAAACTTCAGCTACAATAATTTACTAAATGTAAGCAGTCACGATATAAGAATATAACAAAATTGACTATTTAAAAAAAAAAAATAATCTGGGATGGTGTTTGAACCCGAGACCATCAGCGTCGTACCCGACGCTCTCATCCACAGATCTACGCAGCGTTAAAAACATAAAATTATTCGCTATAAATACAAACTATTTATTGCCGGTATTAGCATTTTCGCGTATTTTCTACATGCCAAAACTGTAAATGCAAAATATTGGCCATCCGTTACTATAACAAAGTTATAAGGTTATATTTCATTTCAACCAAACGCTTTCTAGCCCGTATCTCGCACACCTTGTATGATAGACGAAAACGGTAAATGGAAAAACTATAGCTCTCTAGGCGACCTAAGAGACCATTCAAACCAAACGGTGCGTTTTCGACGGTTTCTCAATCAATGTCAATAATTTACTTCGAAAAACCACAATTTTCAGTTATTTGCTCATAACCACGACAATCTGTATATCATTAAGTCAGCCATATTTTTGAGTTATTGCATTAAATCTTCCGCGTCTTCTGGTTCAAGAATTTTTCCGATCGGACATACCGGGTCCGAGAAAATATATATATATTTTTTTTAAATACTTCGGATCTTCCGATCCCGCCCACTTTCAATAGATTCCATCCGGGGGTGGAACTCTAAACTTTTCCCCAATTTCAACTCGATAGCTTGAAATTTCAGACCGTGGTGTTCCGTAGCGATTTTTCGAGCAAAAACCGATTATAGCCGACAAAATGGCCGTCGAAAACTGATCGGCTCAATATTTTACGGAATGCTGCGCATCGCCCAGTTCTAGCAAGGAAGAAAATTCGAAACCGGTAGTTCTACCCGTTCGAACGTTATAAGCCTTGAAACGCTTCTCGCAGATCTGTCACGGAGAACAGAGAACAGAAACTTTTGAAAAAAAATGAGCTTTGTTTTGCGTTTGTTGTAATGTTAACAAAGTGATGATAAAGGAATAATAATAAGATTCCGAAAGGTTCATATGACGTCATGTATTACATATCATAACCTCTCTTTTCCCTTAGCCTTATACTGTAAGGCACGTTGTGTATGGAATTGGTGTTGGGGCACTTCTTCTTCGCCAAAATGTCCCGTACCAAGCCCCTCCCGTATTCGGAGAATCTTTTCTGTTCCAGCCACTCCTTGAATATTTTCTCGGTGGATGGGATGTTATTGTTCAAGTATTGTCGCACTCTTCCCCATATGTTGTCTATATTAATTTTCGCCAGCCAGTAACGGGGAATCATTAAGCAGCTGGTGTGAGTTTGAGCGACGATCCGTCGCCTATCTAGTTTTTCCCCGATATTGAACACAGCGCCTTCGGTTAGCTCGCCCACCTGGAAAACCTAGTGGTTATTTATTTATTTAGTAATCAACAGGCTTACAGCCAATAACAGATTACAATCAATCAACAGTTAGCAAACGAAAAAAAGAGAACACATGCGTACGGCAAATAGTTTCATATATGTGCTAAACTAACAAACTAACATGCTATTTTTTAATAGTTAATTAGACTATAAGTTATGGTATAACAGTAAATTGATAAACAACAGTAAGGAAAAAAGAAATATGAGAGATATTAGAGTCTGTTTAAAATTATAGTTCGAAAGTTGCAGCAACCAACTTGAAAAATGTCCACATCACGCAGTTCACTATTTATTAATTAGACATTCTGTACAATACATTATTTTGTCCTAGATTAGTGTAAGTTCTAGAGGAAGTTCAAAAATAATATCATTCATTGTTACTTTTGAAAATCGATGAAATCGAATTTTCGAAAGTATCTGCGCTCGCATGAAAATTTTATATCTCGATAACGGTGAGTCTTACGGGATCGTCGTTGGTACAAAAATGATCACCATCGAAAAATTTTTTTTTTGTTTGTCCGTTCTCCGTTCTCGTCTATTGGTTTTTCCTGAATAACTTTCGAACCGTTGGAGCTACAAAATAGAATTTTGCCTCCTTTTTAACCCTCCACGAGGCACAAAAGCTTATAAGATATGGCCCTGGTCCGACGCCGGTTTTTTTTAACCTTGGTATGGGGGGTCGGGAAGTATTTAAAAAAAAAATAAAAATCGCGTTTGCAAGAGTCTACAAAAACGACGATTTTTTAAAAACCGTTTACAAGATCGAAAAAATTCTTGAACCGAAAGACGCAGAGGAAACGACTCCATAAACTTTCGTTCTTGATAATTTTTCAAAAATATACAGGATGCGCCGCAAATTCAAAAAAACTGAAAAATGGGTCCCCCTATTATTGAAAATTGGCAATAATTTCAAATCTGTGTTTTAGATGCCAGTTCCTTTTACATGACGATATAGCCCATATAGATGTATTTACGGTTTTTAAGTATTGTACAGGGTGTTCGCGATATTCCGTGCAACATTAAAAAACATAATAAATGCTCCAAATTTGCAGCTACCGACTTCAGACTTGGGAGAGAAGTTGAAGTCTGAACCCGCATCTAGACTCTATAAATTTGAAGCAATAAAATAACGCGAAGTATTTTTTTTTAATTTTTGAATTTTTTTTGCGGTTATTTTGACATCCAGAAAAACAGCTTTTCCTTCAATAGCATAATCTTGAAGAACAATTGGCTCGGATTGTAGTATTTCTGCTGCTATAAAGTCTTCATAGGAAAAAATATTGGGATTCATAGGAAATATGCCCGTTGCTTTGAATCCAGCTGTTTTCACCAGCGAAGCAGTATCATAAGGTGTTATTCTTTGTGAAAATTGTCTCTCCATGAATAAATCGCATTCTTTTCTATATGCATGCTATGGAATGTATGGAGTGGAAGAGATAGCATATGGACATTGTTTTCCTTACAATATTCAAAGATTCCCTGACTCTGCTGCTGCGGGATGTGTATTCTGTTCAAGCCTTTTTTCCATGAAACCTGGTTCGACACTTATGATACCCCGGAAAAAAGTTGGGTTGACTCAACTGATAAGTGTAAAACAAACGTGCCATCAAAAAGAGGTAAAAGAATAACTATTTTGCATGCTGGCTCTAAAGATGGTTGGATTCCAAATGGACTTTTTCTGTCTGCGAAAAATATTAAAGATTTTTCTCTGGATTACCGTGTAGACACCACCCCTAATTTATTTGAAAGTTGCTTTAAAAACAAACCAGTTCCAAACATTCCTCCTAATAGCGTAATTGTAATAGACAATGCAAGTTATCAAAGTAGTTAACTCCAATGTTCTCAAACTTATAGAAACCGAAGTTTTTAACATCCCTCCACAAAGTTGGCCAAATTCTGTTAAACATGTAGAAAAAGCAGAACAATCGTATATCCATATTGCAAATAATATAGAACAAATAATAATTAGAACAATCGATGATAGCGATAGTGATACTGATATATTATGTGAATAATTTTAAGTAATTTAAGTAAGTAATAAAAGTAATTTGTAATTTTATTTCAGATTTAAACATAAATACATACATAAATAAATAAATATTGTTTAGTATATTTCCTTACAAAACCAAAAATAATTAAATACTAAACAAAGTACGGACCTGTTAGCCCATATTTTATTCTTACAGCAGTTTCTTATATCTATGAACAGACTTTACCTATTCCATGGTTACTCATTTGTGATTTTTGTGTTAAATTTTTATAAATTAACAAATTAATACATATATGTTTGACTGATTAGAACATTAAACTGTTTTAATCTTTATGAACTTTTTTTTTATATCCCTGAAACAAAATGGATTTCTTGGATTTTTTCATTGTCTTTACAACTTACTGCAAATAGCAGTTGGGCCAACACAGCAAAACGCGATAATTTTAAATTTATTTCAGGGAAAAGGAAAATCCTATTTCAAATATAATATATTTGCTTTCAATAAAAGAAACATCTCCTCAGGTTCAAATAACGTCATTTTTTGGTTAGTTTTGATTGGTGACGTCATCGGTAAGTACGATTTTTTACAAAATATTTTATTTTGCTTCTAACTAGACAGCTAGACAGTTAATATACATTTTTTTGAGTTAAGTATTCAATATTGTGTAAACGGGGTGGTCGTAATTTCTATATCCGAACTAGATAGAGCAAAACTGACTTACATGTTAAAACCGCATGGGGATATCTTCACTACTGACCGAGATATTGTTTTTTTATATATTCGGCCCCTGTGAAAATTGCCCATAACTTTTTTATTTATGAAAATTATATGCAACAAGTGTGGTTAATAGCACTTGAGTTTATTACCTAAAAAGTTTACCAAACGTGTTGTATACTATGCTTTTTCTACGATCGTTAGTTTTTGGCTACATTTTCGCAAAACAATACGAATACATTCACTGACATGACCGTCAGAATTGACAAACGTTAAAATTCAAAGCGCGGGAAATGTCTCCGAAAACATCCGATTGCTCCCAAACCCGTGCGGTAAAATCCCGGAAATGTCCGAAGTGGCTCGGATCCGTGGGAAATGAAAGTCACATGGTAAAGTGACGCTTCCACCACGCTAGATCGGTGTATAATTATGTATTTTTCAAAAGGGAGTAGAAAATAGTATATTATGCAAGAAGTGCGGTAAAGGGTATTTGACTCACGAGTATATTTGACACGAGCGGAGCGAAGAGGAGCGAGTTTTTAATAAACGATTGAGTTAAAAAGTTTACCGAACATGTTGCATACTATACTTTTTCGACGATCGTTAGTTTTTGGGTACATTTTCGCAAAACAACACGAATACATTCACCGACATGACCGTCAAAATTGACAAAGGTCAAAATTCAAAGCGTGGAAAATATCTCCTAAAACATATGATTGCTCCCAAACCCGTGCGGTAAAATCCCAGAAATGTGGGAAACGCAAGTCACGTGGTAAAGTGACGCTTCCCGCACGCTAGATCGGTGTATAATTACGTATTTTGCAGAAGGTAGAAGAAAAAATATTTTACCGCACGAGTCTCGGGACATAACCTGTACCTGTATGAAACAAGTTTCGACTTCAGGCACTCTTTCACCAGCGGAAGTGGAACTGCAAGAAATATAATATTAAATTCAAATGGTTTTCGCAAAAAAAAAATTGGGTTACGTTTTTTTCGGCCGAACTTGTTTTCCTCCTTTACTTTTTGTCCCACCAGGTATACACACTTCGTCGTTATTTCCAGAACCGTTTTGTCTATACAGTTTGTATCGTCTACGTCCTTCGACAATATAAGGGCACACGAGAAGATGTTCGATGAGGCAGCAACTCCCTTTGGTGACGAGATAGCTATAGTTCGATAGGCCCATTCCGTCTCCCAGTATAGTTTCACCGGGACTATATGACTAAAAAGTCGCTTAGTCTGTGGTCTGTTATGCAGTGTATCCAGAATAAGAATCACAACATATGCTGGAAATACGGCTTGGGTTAAATTAGGAAAAAGTTTCTTGTCGTTTAGAAACTTTAAAATTTTCCATGGCCTACTGAGGAATTGGACTATACAATAATGCATGGGAAAACTGTACAAAAAACAGAAAAAATCTGCACAGCAAATTCTGTAGATGCAGTAATTATTTCTTATATTTAATTTTAAACGTATTTCCAAATTTACTAGGTTATTGGGTATTGAATTGTAATATTTTACGGCGTTATACGAAACACTGCTTCGAAAAATTCCTGCTATGTCTGTAGTCTTTATTAAAAAAGTACAAAAATGTAGTCCTCTACAAGAATCCATCCTAAGCCCACCAATCTGTTTATAAAAATTAGAAATATGATCATATTTTCTTAAGACACTTTCATTATCTAAACATAAACCATATTCAAAATTACGATAATTAAAATTTGATAAGGTACACAACTTTTTCCTTACGTTAGAAAATAAATTTGATGATCGTATAGTATCTTAAACCTGCTAATGAGAATGTGAATTTCAATTTCAATTTTAATCAAAATTTATCAATTATCCTAACGAAATGTAAAGGAACACAGCTTTTTTCTAATTTAGCCTAAACCGTATCACCAACAGGTACTGAGATTGCCATGCCAAGGTTCATTATGTTGGACACACTGTATATAGGCTATTAACTGAAGAGCAAAGTGTGTCTCAAAGAGGCTTTTATCTTTCGATCCATCCTTGATGCTGTGTCATGCAATACCCACTCGGTATTTCGATAATTGTACTCAAAATACAAGACGCTATATTTTGAAACAAGGTATACTACCCGCATTTGAAGAAAAAATTGCAAAGAACTAAATGCCTGACAACGAAAGCGGCTCTGTAGAGATTTTAACCCAGATTATCCCAAGCATAAAAAAAATAAAAACATACTTTTTCGTGCTGAAATTATTTATTTTGTTGCACTTATACGTTACATGTGTCAAAAAAAATGAAAACTCGAAACATACAAAAAAATATTGGTGCGTAGACAAACCACTGGGAAAAAATAATGTTTTGGGGCACATAAGATGTAACATTATAATTTATACAAAAGAAAGTTCAAATTCGACAGAAAACAACTAAAAGTTTGTTTTCCAAATAGAACTTGATTTGATACAAAAAAACGCCACTGGTAACACCCGGTTTCATTTTTGCTGATATTTTACAAGGCATGAAGTATGTAAGATTTCTTTGACTAATTGTTTTATCAATTTTTAAAAGTAGTCGCAAAGATTTAAAATCAAATCAATCACTTCGTCATCAAAAAACATAAAAAATATTTCAACCGAAGTAATTCAAGAAAACCTATTTTCTAGTTCCTCACTTGATCTGAATTCATCGAATATAGGTGTGTGAGTGTACTCAATCTGACCTTTCTTCCATTTGACAGTAGAAGAAAGCCTGTCGTTTGCAGAAAGCATACATCTTCTTTTGAATTTCAGGGCTGCATCATCTGATGAGGTTTATTAGTTGATGAATTACAGGACTGTTGAAGGACAGCTGTATCATTCGGTGTATGTAACTCGAAAGTTCCAACTATATCAGTTGGTTCCCCAAACGCTTGTAGATTTATGTTTTCGATCATATCTTCTTCGTCAGTCAAGGTATCCACGTCTTGTAGAATATAGGCCGCGTCAATATGTTCTGTAAATATTTTTTCGAGTTATTTTTAGCATAAATTTACAATGAATGGAATGCTATAATACATATGAATACGTAAATCCAAATAATACTTTCATTGTTATTGTCCTCTTCCATCACGATTTCCTCCATAGCCGCCTCTAATTCCTTTTGATTGAAATACTTCGGAAATGCCATATTTTACAAACTGTAACGTTCACTGCACAAGGCACAAACTCATATTAAAGAACACGCTAATTGTTGGATGTTTATTCTACATGCGCTGACTTGCCTAGAGTTGCAGCAACAAAGTTTTTTTTCACAGATAAAACCAGTGGTGCATTCACGCGCCAGTAAATATTTTCAAAAAATAAGACATAATCAATATAGTATTTCCAATGTATGTTTTCTGAAATGTAATCTACGTGTGATAGGTTTAACAAAAATGGCAATACAAATCTAAAATATTTATTTTTACTCTTTTGGATTTGCTTGAAAATATTATACAAATTGATGTACCGCTTTTGTTAACTTTTGAAGTCCTTTCCTTTACACATAAATTAGCTATTTCTACGGCTTTATGTCTTTTAGCAGTGATAATAATAAAATTTCTAAAAGGATGTGCAAAAACATAAAACAACAAAAAAAATCATAAAACATTAACGCACCACTGGGACAAAATGGGTTAAAGAGGTTTTTTTTCTGAAATGAACCTTAGCAGATTTCATTTTACCTTGGTCCTGGATATAATGCTGCACTCCCTCTTTGTCACCGCGTCCCAGTTTTGAAAATAAGAAAACCGATTCATGATCTTGGTAATCTGCTCCCAAGCCTTCCACACCGTTTCCTTTAGCACGATATCAAAATCTTCTTTCTTAATCATCAGCAACTCGCAGGGCACTGAAATCGGAACCCATTTAACATAAGCTACACCGCATTCAATCTTGTAGGTAATTCTTATAAGTTTGATCGATAACAAGTTAGGGATTAGTTTATTACAATTCATGGGAGTAGATGGCAGCTTAGTGAAAATGTTATGGAGTATCATAGGACGAGATCTAATAAACAATTTTCTTGATACTTCCTGAAATGCTGACTGTAGCCAATAATAATATTTATATATTAATTAATTAATATTAATTGTATTATATATTAATATAATAACTATTAATTAAATACAATTAATAAAATTGAATAATAATTAATATTAATATATTTGATACTCTACAAAATTTCTGTTGATTTAAACATTATTTTTAGTAGCAGAAGAGCAAAAAATCTAAATTTAGTAACAAAGTCTAAAACAATACTTAAGTCGACTTATTTTTGGAAGAGCTCTGCTTCTTGACCGAAAAATTTCGTTCAGTGAAAAAAAATAAATAAGAACTAAAAGTTCAGATTTTCACGAAATTATATATTTCCACATGACAATTGTTTCGACAACACCGCGTCTTTATCAAATGTAATATTTACAAACTACCTGGTACTATATACACCGAAAAATGACAATAAATCCTTAATTAATGTTGTTGTGAGAATTTAAGTTCAATAAAGGAGAGGTATTTAAATCTAAATGATCGTTAAGCAATACATTTGAATGTCTTATTTTGTTAATCTCCATGGCTTCCAATAAATTTAATTTTCTGCTTTTTGTGGCTGTATCTAAAATACCAAAATTATCGTAAAAAATTTGTTTTTCTGTGTTTAAGTGTGTACCATAATTATAACCTAGACTATTGTTTTTAAACGCTCTTTTATGCTCGTTAATGCGTTTCTTGAAAGATCTACAATCTAAATTTTAGGACAAGATACGCATTTTAATCTGTAGACAACATGAAACAAGCTGAAATTGGTTTCTAATATGTTCCCAAAACAATTTTTTTTAACAAATGTCTACAAAATAAACTTTTTCCCAAGTTTATAAAATTAAAAACAAACAACAGAAGTCCCGCTGTAAGGCAAGACAAGATCCAAGGCCAGACGAAATGGATGAAAGAAAAACGAAGACACGAGTACAGAAAACGGGATACAAACAACAATTATGTAAAGGTAATGCATTTTGAATTGTCTTATAGACTTAATCCCCTACAATTATAGAGTTCGAACAGACATTTCATCTATCATTCATAAAAAGTTTCTTAGACAAAAACTAAAGTTAGTATACAAATTAATTTCTAATACAAAAATATCTAACAGCAAGTCAGTTATTACAAAGTATACCAACCACCAATATTACAACAGGTTCATAAACTGAACAGGCACAACATTTTCTAAAAATGGAGTTGAATTTCTAGAAAAAGATTTCAACTTTAACTTACAGCATTCGTACATTACACACATATTTACACGTGCAGATAAATGGAATATATTTCAAAAACCAACAATTTCCTTAAACCAGAATTTTTCCAAAGTATCAAACACGATCCTACCGAGTTATATCAAAGACAAGTCAAGGAAGTAATTACTAACTAAACACCATTTAGTGATAAAGACAAGTATTTTTTAACAAGTATGAATCCACAACCGCCTTTATTATATTCTTTAGTTATATTACATAAACAAGATATGCCACAAAACTTATTTCTCAGTGTTCCACCTATGGATGTGATAGATTTAGTAGATTTCACCCAAAGTCGGAAACAGGATAACCCATTGGTGAAACAAGATTTATCAGATTGCTTACTAGTATCTTTAGACCAAAATTATTTTGAATTTAATGGACAGATTTACATCTCTAAGGAAGGTTTGATTATTAGATCCAGTTAGTCCTTTGTTAGCCGAGATTTTTATGGATAATTTTGAAAATATCATACCAGAACATTCTTTAAGCAAAATTTTTCTATGGTGGTCTAGAACGTGGATGACGTCTTTGCTTGCTTTGTTGGAACGGACAGACAAACAAGATTTATTAGATTGCTTAGTAGCATCTTTAGACCAAAATTATTTTGAACTTAATGAATGGATTTACATCTCTAAGGAAGATTTGATTATGGGAAACCCACTTTGTTAGCCGAGATTTTTATGGATTTTTATGATAAGTTGTCTGTGGTGGTATAGATACGTGGATGATGTCTTTGCCTGGTTTGTTGGAACGGACAGACAATTGAATTCTTTTTAAATTACATTAACTCATTACATAATCGTAACCTCATAAACCCTCAAACACGAACACGGTCATATATAACAGCTCAAATCACCGTTATACACACAAAATGGCTGCATTTCACTCTTCTATATACAGGCTCCTTAATACGCCAATCTCAATAGAAACTACAACAAAGAACTTAGTATCATTAAACAAATTGCACTGAACAACGGCTACAATCCGTCCATTATAGATAAAATTATAAATCAAAAACCAATGCAGACAACAGTAAACTCTATTTATCCGGAACCTAATACTGAACACCAACAATTTGAAACAATTACATACATAGGAGAACCCAGTGAAAAAGTTCTAAAACATTTTTCAAAATGTGGTTTAAAAATAGCTTTGAGAACTAACAACACAATAGCAAAATTTTTAAAAAACAACAAAACTAAATGTCCAAAATCACAAAAATCAAGGGTCTACAGTTTGACATGCGGATCTTGTCCTAAAATTTAAATTGGACAAACAGGTGGATCCTTCAAGAAACGCATTAACGAACATAAAAGAGCGTTTAAAAACAATAGTCTAGATTCTAATTATGCTACACACTTAAACACAGAAAAACACATTTTTGACGACAATTTTGATATTTTACATACAGCCACAAAAAAAAGAAAATTAAATTTATTGGAAGCCATGGAGATTAACAAAATGAGACATTCAAATGAATTGCTTAACGATTAATTAGATTTAAATATCACTCCTTTATTAAACTTAAATTCTCACAACATTAATTAAAGTTTTAATGTCATTTTTCGGTATATATAGTAGCAGGTAGTTTGTAAATATTACATTTGATAAAGACACGGTGTTGTAGAAACAATTGTTATATAACATTTCGTGAAGATCTGAACTTTTAGTTCTTATTTATTTTGTTAAATGGATTTTCGTCAAGTAAAAGCCACCTCAGTTCAATTTAAGTTCAGTGCCTTTCTCGTATATTGTCGTATATGGTCGAATTTAATGACCAGCACAAATCTTGATATCTGCGTTCTATTTCGTTTTTATATTGGTAGAGCTTGCTTTGCTCCTCACTCACGGTACCATGAATTTTGTACAATGTCTTTATAATTTGCATACTTTTTTCCTAGAAAACCATTTATATAATCAGTAAATATAATCATGGAACTTTTTCGTCACCTAAAAAGCCTCCTGGAAAGATCCTTAAGTAATCCTAAGTCTCTCACTAAGTCATTTATGCTCTGAGTTAAAATAACTGTGTGGTTATCACCAACTTCATCTATTTCGTGTAAAAAGAAACTGGTGGCATCTTCTTCTAATTGCTAACTTGAGATTCGAATAAACAAAGTTTTCCAAATTTTTAGTATTATATCCACCACCAGAAATAGCCGGACTCGTAGTCAATATGGTGATTTGTTGGTTTTCTGCATATCATAGGTATATGTGGCGTCCAATTTTTGCTTTGATCACAGTCTTTTACCTTAACATTAGCGCAGCGTAGTTTTTAAACAGGGGTGTAATTTTACGTCTACATTTCGTGACCACAAAAGAACCACACAACATAGTGAAACGTATCTGGAATATTTTTAAAATAGATGTAGCTGCACAGTGCTCAATAACCTCACGACAACACATATTTTACTTTCGGGGATTCCCCGCTAATATTCTGTTAATTCACGCAAAGTGTATGCCAGTGGCGTAGCAATTTTAATTTTTAGAATCTTACGTAATGCTCCTATTTTTAAAACCCTAAATACGACATCTCAAAAATGAATCCAAGAATAGTACGTGATAGAAAAAAAAAATTTTTCTATTGGCTCGTTGTCTAGTTGATCTATTGTTGGCCTGTGTAACGAACGTTCATTTAGGTCACTTATATTAAAAAAAAAATACAAAATTTATTAAAAAAAATCAGTCTTAAGGAAATTATAAAAAGGTATATGGCATAAAAAGCTATAGGGAAACTCTAATATGGTGTTCCATCAGACGTCGCAAATGTTGTAAATTTGAAATTATTCTTTTCACAGAAGTATTTTAGCCAAATTGTATATTGCATTTGCAGGACATGTATTAAGGAATTATAAAAATTTTTAAAGTTCGCTTGTCATCGAGAAGTTGATAGTTTTCCTTTGATGAAATACTGTTTTTAGTAATATAGAAAGAAGTCTTCACAAAGACGAAACATAAACAACGAACCAATATTGCCCAACTTTCGTGAAAAATTAAATATAAAAAAATTCAAAGGACTTTTCACCCACTCTTACTAAGTAATCATTTCGGACCAACTCATACCACCATGTATGTAAGTCTAGAATCGTTGCTATTGCAATTATTGGGTAAACACCATTTTTCTGTTGAAGAAACACTTGGAAAGCCATCTTAAAAAAGTGTATCATAGATGAAAAGGGTATAGAGTGGGCTGTTTATCTTGGTACACTACGTTATCTCAGAAACTATAGGGGATGGAGCTAAAACTTAAAAACAAAAGTTAATTGGGGTATTACAAACCTTCAATTTATTTTAATGTTGTCTATACAGGGTGTTTACCTAGTACATTACTTCGTTTTTGAATTCTATACAAAATTCTAGGCCCGTTTTGTGAATAATATTCCATACCTAAACATAAAATGTCATTATGAAATGAAATTAAAAAATCTGCCAAAAAACTTCTTTTTTTTTTGTAAAGGAAACAACCTACTTTAATAATCTTGTCATATATTTTTACTTTTTCAAATATTTAATTTTGTTTGTCTATCACAAATAATATACAACTGCCATATAAGTTCAGTAGTATAAGGTGGCTATGACGGCGTGCGAACAAAACAAATGCTAGAAAGCTTTCTCCTTCGACGCGTGTTTTGTTGTTGATTACTGGAATAGGATAGGTTAAAAAGTTACATATAGAACAATTAAAACTGGATCCCGGCTCTTAGACAAAATTTCCATTAAGGAGGCGAAAAGAAAAAAAAAACTTCTACAGGATTTACCAACACATCAACTTAGATTTTTACAATCTTATGGAGAGACACTTTTCAGAAAATATTTTTGCCAATATTATTTGGACAGATAAGTCCATATTCACAACCTCAACTAAAATTTATAATGGGAAAAATACCCATTACTGGAGCAACAAGAATAATAAAAGAAAAAGAAAGTTTCAAGATCACGTAAAACTTCTGTCAAAGTATGGTGTGCCATCATAATGGCAGCATATATGGCAACAGCAGTCTGACTATATAAAGTATATAAATATAACGAGTAAAATTATTAGGCATGTGCAACCTTATATAAAATTGCTTTAATTTTTAATGCTAAATATGGCAAGATTATATAAATAGCTAGTTTCTATTTAAAAAAAAAGTTTTTTGGTAGGTTTTTCAATTTCATTCTTAATATTATTTTTCGCGTACCCCGTATTAATATGTATGGAAACTTCTGATGAAATCCACTATTCGAGTCTTTTGTCTACAAGAAAACAATAAAAGTGAACAAGTGAAACAACAAGAAAAGAAATTGGCAGATATTTTAGCTATTGCAAAAGTCATTTTTCGCATAAAAAATAAAAAATGTCAAAAACGATTAGACTTTGGTATAGAACATTATACATAAAATATGTATATAATTTTGTATAGAATTCAAAAATGAAATAATGAAGTGAACACCCTGTATATACAACATTTTAATAATAATATAATAATGTTTAGTAATAAATTTTAACAAAAGTATCGGTTAATGTCAACAAGTAAAAAAAAATACCTTAGAACACTAAAATACAAACTTTAAAAATATATGCGTACAAACATACATCAACAAAAGAAAAGAAAAAAAACACACACACACACACACACACACACACACACAAGGTATATCGCACTGAAAGATCAGCATTACTACAATCACAGTATTCATCGACAGAATAAAAAACATTCTTATTCAAATTGAGATTTAACTTTTTCTTAAACAAACGGACAGGCAACATCTGTCTGACGGACAAAGGCAACTTATTATATAGTTTTATTGGTAAAATTATAGGGCTGTTAGCTACTTTGGCTAACTTATGACTGCAAATTAAGATTAGCTCTAAAATTGTAATTGAGATGTTCCAGACTCCTAGATGATATTACCACAGCATGCAAAGAAACATAATAGTCTGGGAAAGAATCAGATATATCACTAATAAATATTATAAATAATAAAGGTCCCAGTATGCTTCCCTGTGGGACACCGCTGGTGAGTTCTTTAGATGAGGATCTAATCACAGAAGTATCGCTTTTAAGCACAACTCTTTGGTCACGATCCTTCAACAACTACTCAATCCAGGCGTAACTATTCCCCCGTATACCGCAATTATTTAACTTATTCAACAACAAATTAATATCAAGCACATCAAAAGCTCGCTTGAAGTCAAAGAACATACATAATGTTTTATTATTCTGATCCAGGTTCGAGACTATTTGATTATATAAGGAAACAGTCTTGAGTAGATAATCCATTGCGAAAACCAAATAGAGAATTCGAGAAAAATTGCTCCTTCTTTAGAAATGCATCGAGCCGCACTTAAAACACTTTTCGAAGATTTTGGATTGAAGTGATATTCTACAGTAATTAGAAATTAAGTGGGTGTTGTTGTTGTGCAATGTTTTAAGGCTGAGGGAAATACACCTTCTGAAAAATACAGATTAATCAAAAAAGTAAGAGGTTCGACCATAAAATCTGTAACACGTTTTATTAATGAACAGGGTATTTCTGAATCTTTTTTGTAACTGACGAAATAATGCATCGAAGGTCAACACCCGTAAAAGGTACTAAGGATAGACTTCGACTTGAATATTTTTTATGAGTTGTTTGTGTTGTTGAAGGCTTGTAATACACCAAATAACTTTTGCATTTAACTTTTGGCTCCATCCTCTATAGTTTCTGAGATAAGGTCGTGTCTCAAGATAAACGGCCCACCCAATACATATACCTAATTCATATAGAGTAAACATCAAATTTTTACAAAAAAAAAATAGGTTTTGACTTTGCATAATTCAAAATAACACACTTTATTGTCATGTCATGTTTACTGCTGTGCCCAAGGTCTGCACCAAGATGTCAGAACTTTTGTTATTTGAGTTAACTATACTATACTATACTATGGTCGTGGGGCCTTCCGAATATTTACCCAGAACATGCAGGGCCGCCGAGGCAAGATCGATATGTTGTCTTTGTTCCTTACTGATAATCACTTCGATGTGGTATGTATGTCTGAGCATCATGTAAATAGTGAAGACGTTCTAAAAAGTGGAAACTTGAAAATTTAATCCTGCAGAGTTACTACTGTAGGAAAAGCACTACCAAAGGTGGCTGTGCAATATAAGTAAAAAATAATATTAAGTGTGAAGCATTAGATCTTGATAAATATTGTGTCGATTTGCATTCCGAAATCTGAGGTATTGTGTTCCCTACAATCGATACAGTGGTTAAAAGTGTTGATCGTTCTGGTTCAAAGGGTGTTTTTAATACCTTTTACAACATACACCCTTTCGGCCAAACACGAATTTCAGATCAACATATGTTTTTTATCTACTTATCTATGTTTACGTTTTCTGTTAAATTTTAGATTCTATCGTTTTTACACTTTATAATTTATGTATTGTACTATTATAGTGTATGTCTATTGTATATTTTGTCATATTGCTTACACGCATGGAATTTCTCTATTTTCTATCTTAAGCCTCTGTTTATACGATTTATTTATCCACAACCACAAGTTGTCAACGTAAATCTGTCTTTTTCTATTTGTACTACTGACTCGCCATTCGCCTATCTATACAGCAGCTGCAGTAGCAAGCGACTCTGCTCAGAACATCACATAACCAATGCACTTAACGATGTCCAAAACGTTCGAGGACAACTAAACAAAACTAGCCAAAATACTTTAACTCTTGACAATCAGGTTCTTAACATTAAATTCGTACTTGTGGTGGTGATTGTGGCCGTTCTGGATATGCCGTGGATCAAAGCGACTTCGCCAAACATGGTGCCCGGGCCAACAGTACCGTGTTCCGCTTCCACCCATTCCTTTAGCATTTTGTCGTAAGTTGTAATGGTCACAAGGCCCTCTCCCGACAGCAGGAAATACAAAGCTGAAACAGAACAGTATACCAAAATCACAGCGCAAAAAAAAGGAACTGGGAAACAATTTTAAAAAAGATCGAAGCCCGGTCGTTAATTTCGTTAGTAGTTATATCTTAACATATTATGATACACGCTGAATATATCTTATTAATAGAAATCTACTTTGGCTGATTATATTTGACAAATAGATTGATAGCAGATACTCGAAGGGAAGAGAGACTATCATGGCTACGAAATAATAATAATAAACTGTCTTTATTGAAAATCAAAATATCACAATATAAGTAACAATACAAGAGTGGCGACATTTACAATTTGCGCTCTTCCATGTAACCACAAGAACAACAGCACCAACACGCCAACAAAATACACACCCGCATATACATCGTAAACACAAGAAATAGACCCACATTATAAACTCATACGCTTTTGCTAGTTACGGGCGGTTCTAATAAAGAATATTAACGTTATTAATATTAATTTCATTAAATAATTAACTGCGTTATAGCTAACAGATCTCTGGAAAGTTACCGAAGTGTGTCTAGGAACGCAATATCTTAAACAATGACGGGTGTCTCGATTATTAATATCATTTCCTCTACATAGTTTATCAAACAAGTACGACGGGGCTTATTGGAGTTTAGTAAAAAAACAAAAGTGGCTAACTGAACTTTATCTCGGTCCTCCAGCTTGAGCGCGAGAATCCGAACATCTGCGTTTTGTTAGTATTAAATGAGAGGTTGTGAGCCGCAGATACCTCGGCAATTATTTTTAGATCTAAATTATTGTTGATAAAGGCATTTAAAGCTTCACTAGCAACAAAAGATAAATATAACTAAGTATCATCGGCGTATTGATGAGATTTACAAAATTTAAGAAAAGTAGAGAAGTCAACTGAGAACAGAATAGGTCCCAGAGTACTCCCCCGGGCAACACACTTCTCCAAAACAATGGAATCTGAATGAGTATTTCCTTTAACTACCCTTTGGTATCTCTGACCAAGACAATTTTGAAAAAAAGAAAGACAAGAGTTTAATTTAGAATCCGCTGCTTTCAATAAATCATCAGTAACATGAAGCAAGCCAGAAGTAGTGCTGTGAAGGGGTCGAAAACCAGAGTGTTTGGGAGGATTTTGTTATCGCATAGGAACTGACGAAGTTTTTTTTTTTCAATAATCTTTGAGGTGGTTGGCAGCAAACTGATCGGTCGAAAATCGTTAATGCCACTTGGACACTCTTTCTTTGGGACTGGTATAACGTTCGCTTGCATCCATGAGTCTGGAAAAACACTTGTTAACAAGGAAAGTGATATGACCGACTAAATGTGGAGTAATCAAAAAAATCATTTTTATATCAATATTGTCTGAGTCATGAGCGTTAGTTTTAATACCAATTAAAGTTTTATTAACTTTCTCAGGGTAAACTGTAGCAAAACGGAATGAATTACAACCAAATTGTTTATTAATTTTGTCAATCCTCAAAACTGCCCAGCAACGGCAACATCGCGAGCACCGTAAAAAAAGGTTGCCTGCAAAAAAGGGATCGGCGCTGCCGACCCTTAAGAGAGACCACGGGACGCTGGGTCTCGACATTACAACCCGTGCCAGCAAACGTTAAGCTTCGTTATTCATTTTCATATGTTTTTTCCTTTGTTTGTTAGTTGTAACAGTTTGTTAAGTTGTAAAAGTTAAAAAATAAAGTTATCGAAAAATACAGTCCACTCAATCGAACAAGAATCAGCGCAGCAAATAACGTGGACCTACGTTAAAACCCACCATTTTGGTCCTTCGAGCCGGATTGAAATATCGTTTAGAAGTCTTCTAGTCCCAGCGAGTGGAGAAGACAAACATTAGAGGTTCCTGCGAAATTACGTCGAATAGAATTGAAGCGAGTACAGCGGTTGGCAACCAGCAGACGGCAGGTGTCGACAAAAAGCAAGTAGGTCCATTCCATTTTCCAAAAATTCCATTTCACTCTCGAATATTTTCAATTTATTAGTTAGTTTTTTCCTAGTTTGTCATTCGGATTTGTACGTGCGCAGTATTAAATTTCGAGAAAAATGACGGAAGCTAACGAATCATTAAACGCGAAATCTCTCATAAATAAAAGGGGTATTCTAAAAGCTAGGCTAACAAAATTCGAGTCGCGAATTTCCCAATTTGAGCAACAAGAAATATCTTTATCCGAATTAAAATTACGCCTAAAAAAGATAGAAGAAACATGGGAAGAGTTCGATAAAATTCAATCAGAATTAGAAATACTAGATGCTTCGCAAGTCAACGAACGCGATGTATTTGAAGACAACTATTTCAGGGTAGTTTCTAAAGCTTCTACAATGACAGAGTCACTAGAAAAGCTTGCGATGGCAAGCAGACAAACCGAAAGTCCAATTCAACAAGTAAGCAATTCTAATAATGTACTTCCAAATTTACCAACAATGAATGTTCCATTTTTTTCGGGTTCTTACGAGGGTTGGATACCATTTTTCAAAATATATGAGTCAGTCATACATAACAGAATCGATCTGTCAAATGTTCAAAAATTTTACTATTTGCAGTCATATTTGAAAGGTGAGGCAGCGCAACTCTTACACTCATTAGAGCTAAGCGAAACTAATTATGACGTCGCGATTGAACAAAAAAATGTTAATTCACAATCATATGAAAAATCTTTTTGATTTAGCTCCATTGGGACACTCCAATAATATTCGTAACAATAAGCAAATTAGATAATCAAACTCGCAAAGAATGGGAAGCTTCCACTACCAAGATAACAAGTCCGAAACTAGAAGATTTATTGAATTTTCTTAAAAATAAATGTCAATTATTAGAAACAATAGACAATAAATCTGCTAGCAAGGACAAAACGCATTCTCACGTTGTAACTAATAACGAAAAGCATTCAAACCAATCCAAATTTAAATTCAGATGCTCTTTTTGTAAACAGGACACGCATGTCACATATAGGTGTCGCAAATTGCTTGCCATGTCAATCAAAAAGAGATTAAGCGAATTAAAAAGGGCTCAAATATGCACAAACTGCTTGCAAATCGGCCACAGAGCGGATGATTGCAGGGGAAAAACATGTCAAATTTGTAATAAACGCCATAACACCATGTTGCATGATCCTGACTTTAAACTCGAAATCAAAATAAATGAAAATGTCAAAAACAACGAACCACAAATCGATAATATAAGCGAAGACAAAACGGTCGCCTTAACATCCAATTTTTATTTGCCAAATAAAAATCAGGTATTATTAGCCACCGCGGTTATTAAAGTTCTTGACAGCGACAATAAATTTATTTCCTGTCGGGCGCTATTAGATTCAGGGAGTCAATCTAACTTTTGCACTAAAGAATTTTTTGAGCGACTTAAGTTACCAGGGAAACGTTTGGACCTGTCAATTTCAGGTATAAACGGATCACCCTCCAACATCTGTTGTCAAGTGGATACGCAGTTAATTTCTACTGACAATAAATACCAGGCATCGTTGCCACTTCTAGTTGTCGACCAGATAACATCTGAATTGCCACAATATTCTTTCGATGTTACTAGACTAAGTATTCCAAGCCATTTACATTTAGCTGATGATTGCTTTAACATTTCTCAAGGCATTGATGTTTTACTCGGCGCAACTATATTTTTTGACATTTTAAATTATGGTCAAATGAAACTGGGAAAGAAAAATCCCATATTGCAAAATACAAAACTTGGATGGGTGTTAGCTGGTCCAATGCAATGTAACGGCTTTGACAATAAATCGGATAGTAAATGTTTTCTTAATGTTGACAAGTTAAGTGGACAAATTGAAAAGTTTTGGCAACTCGAAAACGTCGATAATCCACATTCAAAATTGTCTAACGAGGAACTCGATTGTGAAATCCATTTCCGTGAAAATACGCGAGTCAATTCGAATGGACAATACGAGGTAAAATTACCGCTGAAAGATTCTTATGTCGAATTAGGTCAATTACTGCCGACGGCGATTAAACGTTTACATTTTCTTGAAAAGCGGCTAGCCAGGGCACCCGACACAGAGGCTCAGTATATTTCCTTTTTACGGGAGTATGAAAAAATGGGTCACATGACTCGCTTAACTGAAAGGGAAATAAATGAAGCCGCCTTATCATATTATATTCCACATCATGTAGTTTTTAAGGATCAAAGTTGCACCACCCGCGCTCGCGTAGTTTTCGATGCCTCGTGCGTTACCTCAACAGGCTTAAGTTTAAACGAAGTAATGAAATTAGGGCCGAAGGTGCAGAGTGATTTATTTGATATTATTGTCCGAATGCGTACTCACAAGATAGTTCTTACGGCGGACATCGAGAAAATGTATCGGATGGTTTCAGTAAACAAAATTCATAGACCTTTGCAAAGAATTATTTGGCGCGAGGATCACTCGCACGAAATAGCTCATTTTAATTTAAATACGGTTACATATGGACTAAAAAGTTCAAGTTTTTTAGCAACGCGTACACTCAATGAAATCGGGAGAAATTCAACAGATCCAAAAATCCGAAAAATCATAATGGAAGATTTTTATATTGACGATCTTATTTCGGGCGCAGAAAATGTTTCTGACGCGATAAAACTTAAGCAAAATGTTTCGGCTACCTTGTTAAAATCAGGTTTTAATTTACGTAAGTGGAGATCGAATGATCTAAGTGTTCTAGAAAATGATAATTTTAACACAAATTCAGAATTTTGCATAAGGAGCAGCGAGGAGACCAAAACTCTAGGGGTTATTTGGGATCCGATTAGTGATACGCTTTGTTATGCTTTTAATTTATCTATTAATGCCGATCTAATTACAAAGCGAAGTATACTTTCCGGTGTTGCACAATTATTCGATCCTTTAGGCCTCATTAACCCGTGTGTGGTGAAGGCAAAATTAATTCTACAACAACTTTGGCAAATCCAAGCAGATTGGGATTCCGAAGTACTGCAAGGCATAAAAGAAAATTGGTCAAATTTTTTGGAAAACTTGCACTCGTTGAATGACATAAAGATTGATCGCAAAATTTTTAGCCCGGACTACACTAAAATTGCTTTACACGGTTTCTGCGATTCATCCATGCACGCGTACGGCGCATGCATCTATGCATTGTCCGAAAATTCCTATGGGGAAAGAAAATCAAATTTAATTTGTGCAAAATCGAAACTTGCACCTTTAAAAACACAAACACTACCTAGACTAGAATTATCAAGCGCATTACTTTTATCCCAGTTAATGTCGAAAGTAGTACGCATTTTACGAGTCCCAATTTCCTCAGTTACCTGTTGGACAGATTCTATGATAACACTTTCATGGATTAATTCGGAACCGAACAAGTGGAAAACATTTGTTTCGAATCGGGTTTCGGAAATACAAATATTAAGTGAAAATTCATCGTGGAAACACATTGAATCGGAAAATAACCCAGCTGATATTATTTCACGTGGTTTAAACCTATCGGAGTTAAAGAATTGCCAAAAATGGTTTCAAGGTCCTACCTTTCCTATCGAGGAAGAAAGCTCCTGGCCTAAAACGCATATTGTTAATATGCCCGACTTACCTGAGGCGCGAAAAGAAAACATCATTTTATCTTTTACTTTATTAAATAATCTTGGCTTAATAGAACGTTTTTCAACTTATCGAAAATTGATTCGTATCACCGCATATGTATTGCGATTTGGCTACAATTTAAGGCACAAAAAGGCAAGGCGATTTGATACACTGCTTCAATGTGAGCTTGACAATGCAATTACCAAATTATGTATCAATATTCAACATCAAGTTTTTCAGACGGAAATTAAATGTTTAAATTCAAATCAAAACATTCCAAAAGACAGCAAGTTGCTTGCTTTAAGTCCATTTATCGACGAAATTGGTTTACTGCGCGTAGGAGGACGTTTGAAAAATTCTCATCTTGCTTTTAATCATAAACATCCAATTGTTTTGCCCAGCAAACATCATTTCACTAGGCTTTTAATTGAACATTATCACAGAAAATATTTACACGCTGGTACCCAATTTATTCTCGAGAGGATAAGAGAGGATTTCTGGCCGCTGAACGCAAAAAACCAGATCCGCAGCGTTTTGAGAAAATGCATGGTATGCTTTCGTGTAAAACCTTTTAATATAAGTCAACAAATGGGTTCATTGCCTCAACCTCGCGTTACTCCCTCTAGACCTTTTACATTCACCGGAATTGATCTAGCTGGACCTTATTTTACTAAGGCATCCAAAACTCGAACAAAAATTTTGATCAAAACTTACTTGACGGTGTTTGTTTGTTTGTCATCAAAAGCGGTTCACATAGAGATAATTACAGATCTTACTTCTGAAGCCTTTATGGACGCGTTTAAGCGTTTCGTATCCCGTCGAGGACTTCCAAAGCATCTTTACAGCGATAACGCTAAAAACTTTGTGGGTACGAATAACATTTTTCACAAATTCTACGAAAGCGTTGCTCAAACTGCTAGCAATGAAACTCAAAGTAATTATTTCTTGGAAAATCGCATTACTTGGCATTTTATACCCGCGAGATCTCCGCATCACGGTGGAATTTGGGAATCCGCTATAAAGTCATTTAAGAATCATTTACAAAAGGTAATGGGTGAAACAAAGTTAAATTACGAACAACTATATACAGTCGTTGTACAAATTGAAGCTATCTTAAATTCGAGACCTCTCCTTCCCTTATCAAGTGATCCCACGGACCTACAATCTCTGACGCCAGGACACCTATTAATAGGTGGAAATTTATTAGCCACACCTCAACATGACGTAACCGAAATTCCCAGCAATCGTTTGAAAAATTTCCATCAGTTGCAGCAATTGGTTCAAAATTTTTGGAAGCTTTGGAGTCATTCCTACCTCCATACTTTGCAGCAGCGTGGAAAATGGCACGTAAAATGCGAAAACATCAAAGTGGATGCGTTAGTTCTACTCAAGGACGAAAATTTGCCGCCGTTACAATGGTCAATGGGTCGCGTTGTAGCAGTCCATCCTGGAACCGACAACTTGGTGCGGGTGGTTTCCATACGCACAAGGAACGGGATAGCCAAGCGGTCAATCAACAAGATATGCCCGTTACCCGTGGACGAGATCAATATTTCTGCGCTTTGAAGTCCGCTGGACATTTCAAGGCCGGCGGGATGGTCAATCCTCAAAACTGCCCAGCAACGGCAACATCGCGAGCACCGTAAAAAAAGGTTGCCTGCAAAAAAGGGATCGGCGCTGCCGACCCTTAAGAGAGACCACGGGACGCTGGGTCTCGACATTACAACCCGTGCCAGCAAACGTTAAGCTTCGTTATTCATTTTCATATGTTTTTTCCTTTGTTTGTTAGTTGTAACAGTTTGTTAAGTTGTAAAAGTTAAAAAATAAAGTTATCGAAAAATACAGTCCACTCAATCGAACAAGAATCAGCGCAGCAAATAACGTGGACCTACGTTAAAACCCACCAAATATAATTTGCTGACACGAACCCCGGATCATTACTACCAACAGTTCCAAATGAAGTAAAAGCAACATTGAAACTATTAGGTTGGCCAAAATTGTTTTCAAATATTAAAGTAGTCCAAAAATTTTTAGGATCAGCCTTAAATGTACTTTCCAAATATGCCCTTTTCTCGGCTCTCACACAGGAGTTCACAAAATTTCGTAATTCTCTTTACTCGTTTAAAGCAATATATGACTTAAGACGTTTGTATCTTAAATATTGGACAGTGGACTGGAATGCAGGACTCTGTGACACTTCGCAGCGCGGCAATGAACAGATTAATATAGAAACGGAGAACGCCTACGCAGTACATTCTGCAGGGCAATAGAAGAAGAAGAATAGATTGATTGTAAAGAAAAGTTTTATTTCTAAAAGATGTGGGCATCAGTTTCTTTACGTTATTGGGAACAGCATTGTACCCTTTGTAGACCCAGTAGGAAAACGATCTTTCAACCAATGCTTTACGATGTAGGGGACGAGCAATAAGACCCCTATATCGAAGATTTAACGTGTGGACATCAGTTCGGTATTTTATTTTTCAAAGAGACATATGGTAAAAAACAACTACATGAATCGACTTTCCTATATTTGATATATTGTGTTTTCTGTCTTAACGAACTTTTACTCGCTTATTACAAAATGCCGTTTTTTCGTTCTCTCAAGCTTTAAAGAGATGGTATAGCAAGTGTGGAAGAAGGATACAAGGAAATATATTGCATTCACTACTTTTCGCGGTTATTTTGGCATAAGAAAAAGAGGACATACAAGAGCACTTCATGGACTAATATGGAACAATACTCTCACTAAAGAAAGCAAAGAATTTTCCAAAGCAGAATTCAAAATATCACCTTGCATGGAGCAGAAGTTTGGCCAATGAGAACAACGATAAGAAACAAAATAAGAACGATCGAATTGGACATTATGAGAAGATGTCTACAACTTACAAGAACTTACAAAATAATAAGAACTGCAGAAATTTTGCAACGAATGGAAATGGAATGTTCGATAACAAGGAAATTAGAAAACAGAGCATTAGAATGTATGATGGATGATAAGATGGAAGACATATATTGGACATGCGATGATTGATAGAGATCTGAGAGTAGGCGACTGGAATGTAAGAGAACTGTAGTGGATTAAACGGCGAAATCGTAAAGGAAAATACAGAACAAGTATATGGGATAATATACAGGGTGTTCCCTTAAAAACATACACTTCTTACCATTTTGGTATCTCGTAAGAAAATCATTAGTTTTTACCATCCATGTATGATACAGAACTAAATTCGATATAGAAATTTAATTAAAACTTTGTTTTGGTCGAAAAATAAAGAAAATAATTAACCGCTGCAGTACTAGCGAATGTACATGGCGCCCCATTTAAAATTTCAATGTGGATGCTACTTTTTCGATGAAGCGGCAACATCGCAACGTTAAAAACAGAGCGTCGCCGCTCATGGAACTAACCAAATTTTCAGAACAATCCAAGGTACCATCAACCGTGAAACACCCGGTATATCAAGACATACGTGATAAAGTTAGGTCACCTGTGGGTAAATGATCCTGCTTCACGATCACTCGATCCTGAGGGATGTAGACGAAATAGGTCACGGCCGCCAGCTGTTTTTTGACGTGCTAAAAATTTTGAGTTTATCAAATTAGCGTTTGGTTCCAGACAACCAAAACTAACCGGGGGATATCTTCTAAAACACCGCAGTCCTCCGATAGCTCTGTCGAGGATGTGTTTTTCTTCTTCAGTTCGTTCTTCTTTGGGCTTGGTCAAAATAAGTTTCTCCTGGAACGTTAGTTAATTGATCTCGAACCTTTCCCTGGTTGGACCAAGTTATACTTCGACCAAAAATATAGTGCTTTTAGAACCGACCCCTTGATTAACTTTGCCTATTGTTTATTACTCCAAAACCGCAGCCCTTGCCGAGAAGACCCTTACCCGTAATCATTCCAGGACCGTCCTAGCAATTTATTGACCTACACTAACAAGCGGGATATAAGTATGTTTTCAATCTTTTTAGCCGAGCAATTCTTGAAACATGTACTTAAAGAAATTAGTGCAAAGTAACAATTTATTATGTTCTATTTCATTACATTTCTACATGGTATCATTATTAATATTCAAAATATTAAATATCATAATAATAAAGTATCACTTAAAAAATCGTCACTATCGCTACTGTCGTCACATAGTTCAGTGATCAAGTATGCCACTAATCGTTCTCGATAAATATTTTCTTCTTTTATTACTCGTTTTTCACAGTTGTATTGCTCTATCATTAAATTTTGGGCCAGTGTTATTTCTTCTTATATGTGCTTTCAACTCAGACCAAATCATCTCAATCGGGTTATACAATGATACTTGGTTAATCTCGAGATTTCATGTCCGTTTGTTGTGCTATAGAATCGATTATAAATTAATTAATTAATAAATTAAATTTCCAATGTTTTATTTTTAATAATTCAAGTAGTTGTTTTTTCGTGTTGCTCTGTTCAAAATATAAATCATTTTCGTACAGAAATTCTTTGATTTGTTTTTTATTCGAAGAAATATTTGGAATTTCTCTAATTTGGGCTGAAGGATACGAGGCATTTAACCAACACAATAACAGTATTTGACGATAGTTTTGGAAGCAGTTTATTTGAATTTGACGTTTTTGGCAGACAACAATAAGGCACCCTCCACCCAACCATTATTGGACCCAACATGAAGAATTATTATGCGTTTTACGTTTCCTCTAAACACTTACTGTAAAATACTTAAAACGTCAACGCAACAAATGCACTATATTTTTGGTCGTATTATACCCTTGTGGTTAGCGTGCTTTTCTGGATCTTTTTCCTCGTCAATTTCTGGATATTTAGCAGCACGTTTTCGCCGAGAACGTCGTCTATGTCCCCCAGCCAGAACAAATTGGCCATTACCAAACGAACTAAAGCTTTAAACTTCCGCCTAGCTTTCAACGCCTTAGCGGCTTTCTCTTCGGGACTCTGCAGCACAAATCGGAAGATATCATCGAACTTATGGAAAGTGAAAGCCGATACTTGCCAACGTAGCTCTAATTTTTCTCCTGCTAGACATTATCACGGGTGCAGTGTGGTCGAAGTTTATAAGAAACTAGCAGTTAAATAGTAAGGATGTTGAATTTTAAATAGCAAGTAAATTTTTGACAGACGTTGTCACTTCAAAAATTATGGTATACCATTGACGTCACAGCCCTCACATAAATGGACGTACTTCGTTGATAAGGTGAGTAAAGTTTCGAGGTTATGTTATGAGCGATGAAGACAGGGGTTAGTAGGTGAGGTTGGGGTAAGACTAATGTTTATTTTAATTAATTTTATAGTAGTTAGCTTAAATAAGCTTGCGTAAATTGTATCGCTTAAATTGTATTGTATTGTGTTAAAAATGTATTGCAATTTTTACGCAAGACAATTTTTTTTAAAAACAATTTGTTTTTGACGAGAGCCTAAAATGGGTGAATATCAACACAAATAATTTATATGCATTACATTATACACGTTATACATATACATTATACATAGGAATATCAGAACACACTCTTTAAAATACATTTTATTATAAACATTAATTTAATTTTAGTTAGTAGGTCTCCAAAACTAATTCGTTCTAAATGAGAGTATTTCAATTTTTTCATTTAATGCTGAGTCACTAAGTTCAATTTGAGTATCACTTTCTGAACCCAACGAAATTATTTTCATTAAAAAAGGTTTGGTATACCAATGTAAAATAGTTTTATTGTAATAGAGCTTCATTCGATATAGCCAAAACATTTTAACTCAATAACATTGAATTCACACTGACATGGAGGGGTAAGAAGTACTTCATGTCCATGAGTTCATGTATTTTGTTTTTAACCAACCAGTCGCAAACCTCTTTTTTAGAAGAACTTACGAGGTGTGTTCAAAAAGTAAGGCGATTTATAAGTTTTATAAAAACCTATTTATTTATTTCTTAACATTAATGTTGTCCCCTTCAAAGTAATCCCCGAAGATATAATACTTTTATCTTTATCTACTTAATCGTTCCAAACCTTCTTCCCTTCATGGGTTTCCTGAGTTTTGGGAACAGGAAAAAGTCACAGGGGGCCATGTACGGCGAATATCGTGGCTGAAGCATGATTGTGGTTTTGTTTTTGGCCAAATAGTTAAACACAAACAACGATGAGTGAACAGGTGCATTACTGTATTGCAAAATACTCTTTATCATACCGAGCGTTGTCCATAAATTTTCTTTTAGCCATCTAACAAATATCTCGCTATTTATATCGCCATGGTAATCTTCAGATGTTAACGTGGAACAGAAGACCCATGCTTACTCCCCACTCTCGGCATGGACGGCAATAAATCGCTTGCCTTGAAATCCCAGTGATCTTCTTACACCTTTTATTGAGTTATCTTGTATGGAGTTTTTTGCATTTCATTTGCAAAATATCGACGTTTCGTCCATGCAAGTAACCCGATGTGTTGACATACTCGTCATTTCTTAAAAATTCAATTTGATGTAATGAAATATTGGTTTGATCCACACAAAATCTTTGGTAAACATCTTTTTTGATAATAAAACCTATGCTGGACAGTACTCTCTGCGAAGAACTATTGCTGATACAAGTAAGTTCTTGTTCTTTGAGCATTAAATTTTAAGGTGGAATTGTGACATGTTTTCTTTGAATAAAAGCAATGAAATTAATCATAATCACTATCTTACATGATGATAAATGATTACTATCATCTATACATTTGATACACCATGTCTCTTATATTACGTTTAATTACATCAGTTAAATCAGTCGTCTTTGTCTTTTTTCAGGGTCTCTTCTGTCCTTTATTACTTTATCATTGGATTTTAAATCCTTTTTTATTCTTGTCACAATTTCATTAGCTATAGAAAATTCTTGGATAGCGGACAGTGCTAATAAAGGACCTCCATATTCTTATACCTACCTAGAAAGACAAATATGGCCTACTAAAAATTAATATTTTGACAATAAAAGGTATTTTTGAGAATTATTTGTATTTATATTTTAATAAATTTTTGATGCCTTAAATTTTTTTAACGGTCCTCTTTTTTATCTAATATAACTGCGAAAACGCTTGAACGCAATATTTCGTTATAAATAGAGGAGGATCTATTAAAAGCTACTCGACTGCGCCATTTTGATAAATAAACATGCGGAGATAAAATAATAGGCCGCACATGCGGTGAGTCATTTTCAGACTAATGATTAATAATCGCTTCCCGCGAATTACAGTTTACCATTCGTGATATCACCACATTCGCAAACGCCAGTTATATATTAAAAATTAAATATAAATTTCACACTTTAAGTTTAGAGGGAACAACGTAATATACAAAATGAAAGTTGCAATAATCTTTCGTTTTCATTATTTATAGCACCTGATTAAATTTTTTTATTGTTTCAGCGCTTGTCGCACAGACTTATAAATTATGTGTTTTTCACTATTGGGTGAAAAGAAAAAATTAATCTACAGGAAGCGTAATTGGAGTGTTTTTAATAGGAAAACCCTATTTTTGAACCTAGATAGGGCAAAATCGACTTACATGTCAAGAGTTTGACTTTTGACAAACATTTAACGGTCAACAACGCATGCTGATATCTTCACTACCAATCGCGATATGGGGCGTTTTTTAGTTATTAAAAGTTTAGATTCGGACGAAAGCATTATCAGAACATGTTTTAAAGGCAAATGCAGTGGCGTATTCAGATTTTTTCTGCAGTTTACAATTTTCTACTTAAAAAAGTGGATATATAAGGCATTTTTTGTTTAGTATTATTAGGCCGTGTGTAATATGTTCAAAAAGACGTCACATGAAAACCTTTGAAATAATTTATCAAACACTGGAACTTTAAGGAAGAGAAGAGAAGATAACTTAATTAAAAAAAAATTATATTTTAATTTTAATTTTAAATATTATTTTTAATATTTTTGATTTTATATTTTATATTTCATTCTTACAGCTTGCCCTGGTTTTCCCTTAATTCGTATCAGTTAGTCACTTTCTTATATCTATGAACAGACTTTACTATGTGTGTTCTCCCCTTAGTACCAACCTAAACTCAGTTCCAGATTTTAGGCCATTACAAGATATATCTGTTATCTGTGATTTCTGGTGATACTGAGTAATATTAAGTTTGTTTTATTAATCGTAATAATCTTTGGTACTCAGGATAGTTTTTTTAGTTTCAGACGCGAATATTGTCACCTCGCTGATGGCTTGATTACCGTTCGTTTAGACCCAAAAAACTTAATAACTAGTCATTAAAATTAATAGGTATATGTATTATACATTTTCAACTTAAAATTTTATTCTTCTGGTTACCCCCTCTTACATTATACATTTTCAAAATATTCATTCATTTCGTAATTTGCCACACTTTCCCGTACCGTTCCCAATTTCCATTGCGAACATACAGCGAAACGCTCGTCGGAACAAACCTTTTTGTAGTGGAGCGCCTTCAATCAATTCCATTAAGGCATCCGACAACGTCGCGCGGCAACCCGAATTTAGTTCGTGCCGAATGACTGGCGCGCACGTTGCCTGTGTGTTTACATTCGTTCGATAGTCTAGTTATGAGCCGCGTGAAATTTAAAAGGCGTGCGGATATAAATCGCGGCTGAAACGGTGTAGTCGGAAAAAACCTGTCTTATCGTAGCCTATCCGAAGATGGAGTGCGATCTCAAAACATCTCGGAGGACGGCGTGCCGTCTCTCCGCAGATTCCCGGATTGACATCGAATTTCAGGACCTGAGCTACACCGTCCCCGAAGGACGAAACGGTGAGTAGGTATGGTCTGTTCATAGATATAACAAAGTGAGCAATTGCTTTTGAATGGGATTATCCAAGGGTGGTCATTAATATACATTGCAACAAGATTATTACCTAAAGTTTCGGAATTTAAATTTAGGTAAAATTGTGGTCCGTAATAGAAAATAATTTTATACCTACCTGTGTTCAATATCCTTTGGTTTGGTATACTACTTAGTTTAAGTTTATTAGTAATCATTCTTATTTCGAGTGTAATACAGCGTGTGTTGAATCGTGTGCGAATTATGCAAAATATGTGCGAGTCTATTGTATCTCAGGCGATGCTCCCGCCCAAATTTTGAAAACACTATTCTATTGAGACTAAGGAATTAATAAACAATGTTTATTTGACTCTCATTGAACGTGGTGCCAGCAAGCAAGCATCTTTAAACATCAACTGTATGGAAAATTGTGAATAATCACATTTCGGCGATGAAAAAAAGAAGCATTGCTGACATTTCCTCGAGTGTAGATGAAAGTAATCAAGATATAATACGGCGTAAAATTTACCAGTTATACGAGGAACAAAGCGTACCTACATTAGATATCTTAATTAGGAGGCTTGAAAAAGATGAAACCGGTGTTAAATGTGGCAGAACTACCTTATGGAAGTTAACACATGGGTTTTAGATTTTAAAAAATTGACAAAAGGCAAGTTTTAATGGAATCTTTTAAAATTCGGAAATGACGACTGGAATATCTAGAAAAAATTAGGATTTGCAGAGAACAACAAAGACCAATGGATGAAACCTGGTTCGACACTTATGATACCCCGGAAAAGGGTTGGGTTGACTCAACTGATAAGTGTAAAACAAACGCGCCATCAAAAAGAGGTAAAAGAATAACTATTTTGCATGCTGACTCTAAAGATGGTTGGATTCCAAATGGACTTTCTCTGTCTGCGAAAAATATTAAAAATTCTTCTCTGGATTACCATGAAGACACCACCGCTGATTTATTGAAAATTGGTTTAAAAACAAACTAGTTCCAAACATTCCTTCTAATAGCGTCACTGTAATGGACAATGCAAGTTATCACAGTAGACAGTTGACTAAAACCCCTTCCTCATGCGACGCAAAAGCAACAATCCAAAACTACATGTATAATAACGACATTTACTTTCATGAAGATTATATCAAAAGGTAATTAATTGAGGTTCTACAAAGCTTGAACCTACAAAAGGAATACGTCTGTGATAATTATGCAAAAAATCTAGGGCATACAGTTGTAAGGCCTCTACCTTACCACTGTATATTTAATCCCATTGAACATATTTCGCACCAACTGAAATCTGCCATTCGTCGTACCAATGTTTTTCCCCTTGTTAACTCCAATGTCCTCAAACTTATAGAAACCGAAGTTTTTAACATCCCTCCAAAAAGTTGGGCAAATTCTGTTAAACATATAGAAAAATCAGAACAATCGTATATCCATATTGCAAATAATATAGAACAAATAATAATTAGCACAGGCGATGATAGCGCTAGTGATACTGATATATTATGTGAATAATTTTAGGTAATTTAAGTAGGTAATAAAAATAATTTGTAATTTTATTTTAGATTTAAACATAAATACGTACATAAATTAATTAATATTGTTTAGTATCTTTCCTAACAAAACCACAAATAATTAAATTCTAAGCAAAGTAAAGACCTGTTCGGCCATATTTCATTCTTACAGCTTGCCTGGGTCTTTCCTTAATTCGTATCAGTCAGTCACTTTATTATATCTATGAACAGACTTTATATCCGATGCGTCCAAAGTAATATAAACTTGGCGTGCATAGATTTTTTTCTTTTTTTGAAAATACTGATCATATAAAAAAAAGCTTTTCGAAAGGCAATTTAATATTCTTTAATACGAGTTTAAATTGATAGTGAACTGCACAAGCCAAATTAACTTTTTTTTATTACTAAAAACAAATATGGTTATTGACAATTAGCAACTCAACACTTATTTTTTAATAATGGGTGCGACCCCCTCTTGCCCTGTTAACATCTCTTACTCTATTAGACATAGATCTAATCAAGTTCACTATTGTTTCTTGTGGAATGTTAAGCCACTCTTCCTCTATTGCAACAATCAGCTCTGGGATCGAGGTTGGGGTACGAAGTCTAGCTCGAATTCTTCGTTTTAGCTCATCCTATAAATGTTCGATCGGATTGAGGTCGGGACTGCATGCTGGCCACTCCATAACTCAAAAACCGACTTCTGAAATGTAATCTTACGATCCATGCGGTGTGCGACCTAGCATTGTCATGCATGAAAATGAATTCTTCTCCAATGTAATCTACATATGGTACCACGTCATCTGATAAAATATCCTCGATGTACCTAGCACGTGTTAAACCTCCTGCCCTTTGATCACGGCCGCCCCTACGGATGAAAGCGGGGTCATAGAAATTGCTGCCATATCATGCTAGAACCACCTCCATAAGAGCTCCGCTCTTCATTGCGGCATTCTGCAAATCGCTCTGCTAGTCCCTGATTTTTCGTCGGTCTCTACCAAAGATGCATATTCTGAGAACATAACAGGTTCCCATTGGTCCAATGTCCAATTCCAGTTTCAATAAGGTTTGAACCAATTGCGGTTGTTTTTGGGGTCAGGTTATTTTCTTTCAGTCTTCTTCTCACAGCCCACTGACTAATAGAGACTCCTCGAACTTCATGAAGCTGTTGTTGCACTTGAATCGCATTAAGGTGATGATCTCTTATTATTGTTGACACAATAAAGGATCCAGTCTCCTCATACCGTTGGGATACTCTTCGAACTGCTGCGCGTGTCATACCCGGTTGTCGAGCATCAGCCCGCTGGCAAAGTCCACTTCCAATTAAATGGATCACTGGAGCGGCTTTTTGCGGTATAGTATGCATGAAGCTAACACAACTGAACGCTATCCATATGGTTTAAAACGAATAATGTGAGAATTCCAGTTGCAAAGGCGATTAATTTAAGTCTAAAACATCTAAAATATAGAATAAAAAGCACAGGTCCTAATACACTGCCCTGGGGCACACCTATATTGTTTTCTAACTGATCAGGCAGCACGTTATTAATCCTTGTTACATGGAATCTGTCACATAGATAACCAACCATCCACACAAGCACATTCCCTCTGATCTCAGTCCTCTATCAACGGTCTCAAAGGCTCTTTGGAGATTAATGATCAGAGTTAAGACTATATTACCGTCATGAATGTCAAACCTCCATTTCGAGCACACAACTTGTAAAGACGATTCACACGAGTGTTTCTCCTGAAACCCAGACGAATTAATTGGCCGGTATTTTCCAGGTTTACTCGGAACTGGTACTTCGGGTATAGGGATAATAACGCTTATCTTGGTCTCTTCGGGAATTTTTCCTGTATTAAGTGAAGTATTTATTAAATAACACAAACAATAAATATCTTTAAACTTTGAAAAATTTGAAAAATTTGAAAAATTGTTTTGTCAATCTTTTCGCGCATGCGACTTTGCTATCAATTTCTCGGAAAAATTACTTAGAAGTGGTAGACAATATGAACTCGGAATTAAGGTTACTTAGTGACTAGTTGTGCGTAAATAAACTCCAATTAAATTTAAATAAAACAGCATATATGGTATTTGGGAATAAACAAAATTGTAATGTATTTTTGGATAATAATTTTAAGATTTATATTGATAGTAGGTTAATAGGGAATATTTCACAAATGAAGTAAGATTCTTCTCTATTAAATTTCTCACCACATGTAGATTATATTTGTAAAAAAAATTGAAAAAAAGATAGGTTTCTTGCTTAGACTTTAGACTGATTTTAGCTACTCATTTTTGGCATTGTAATTCGCTTTTGATTTTTTGTAGAAACTGATGTTCATAGAATACAAGTGCTACAAAATAAAACCATGCGGGCTATTCTGGGTACAACGTTACACTCCCATTTTTAGGGCGGTTGTCGATGTCTCAGAGTATTGAGAATTGAGAGTAATGTTTTGCTGATATATCAAATAAAAAATAAATTACTGTCATCCTACTTTTTTAAAATGTTAGGGGTAAAAATGATTTTGATAGTCAGTTTGTTAAAACTCTACAAATACAAAAAAGCCTCTTTAGGATGGGCTTCGATTGTTCAATACTCTGCCGACGGACACCAAAAAATAGTAAAAGATTCTTATATTAATATTAGTGTGAATTAGCTTTTATTTTTATATAAATGTAATTTACTACGATTCGAATATATAATCATGCATTGCTTATGTCAATTACAATAGTGGTTTTAGTAATGTTTGTGCGTACTGGCATGTATGCTAATGATAATAAACCATTTAGTTTTAACAAGTTTGTTACTATCACTATAACTGCTGCATGAACACGTTTCGTTTGTTTAACCGTAGCTACGCATATAAAAGATCAGCACTCTTGACAAATTTAAACTCGTACTAAAGCATATTAAATTATCTTCCAAATAGTATGTTTATTTTTTGGGCCAGATGAATAGTTTCTAAAAAAAACTATACGAAAGTGAAAAATTTTAAATACAAAAGTTATAGATGAGACCAAAAGAAGTCAAATTAATATTTTTTAAACGCCCTGTATATTACTGCATTCCCTTTTATACCCGATGATAGTTGTTATGGTCTATGCCGAGTGTTTTCAGTGTTTCAGTGAAAACGGCAAAACAATTGACATTTGTACAGGGTACGTGGGTAGGGACTTTCAGTTGATATAAGCATCTAAAATAATAAAAAAAAAACTACACATGACGAAAAAATGGCCCTAAATCCGAAAACACTCAGTATAGACAATAACAGAACAACACAGGGTGATTGAGTATAAAAGGGAGTATCAATTAAGGCCATAATATACAGTGTGTTCCAGTAAAATTCATTAGTTTGATTTTCCGCATATTTATTGATCATCCTGTATATTTAATAATATTTATGATAATAATTACTTTATTAGCGCACGCCTAGCCTTGGTTATTCTGAACCA